GACCCGAAGCAATGGACCATGCTGTGATGCTGCACAACTTGCTCTCGTCATCATCGCTCCCGAACAACGCATCACTGTCAGAGGTCCACTGGTGATCCCCGATTGATCCTAGGGAAGGGTTACAGGCACGTTGGCCTGGGGGGTTATGGGCGCACTCACCCGCTACACAAACAAGCCCTTTTATCCCAGTGGTTAGTGGCTGGGATTCTGACATGGTATCAGAGCGAAGGTCTCGGGTTCGAATCCCGGTGTGTGCACCTCGGGCATCCCAGTGCGGGGGGGTGTCAGAGGTCCACTGGTGATCCCCGATTGATCCTAGGGAAGGGTTACAGGCACGTTGGCCTGGGGGGTTATGGGCGCACTCACCCGCTACACAAACAAGCCCTTTTATCCCAGTGGTTAGTGGCTGGGATTCTGACAATCACCACATCTGTTATGGACACGAAAACTGGGCAGCACAAATATGTTACATGTGTTCGGTTCCATGGTACAGTACCGACCCCTAGCTGCACGATCAGGCCAATTCTCCCAACGCGCACAGTGGGGGCTACACCTGGGCATAAAAAATAATTACAGCGCGTGGAAGATTTTCGACATACACTCAAAGGAAACAGTAGCAGCACGTGATGTCATCTTCTACGAGCGACTCACGCTTCCGACATACCTTGCCAACCTGGAAGAAGATCGAGATCCCACAGGTGGTTTTCACGGTGACCGAGCCTTCGCTTCGGCAGCAGATGAAGCTGACTGGGACGAGCAGAACGTGGACGGAGCTTCGGAAGCAGCCGGACTCTCCCGTACTGCTGGGTCGACGTACCAATGGACGACGAAAACCCTCGCGAAAGCGTCGACGCCGAACAAGTCAACACCGACGAAGCAGAACGCGTAGGACCCAACTTCATACCTGATCCAGAAGCGGGAGACGAAGCAGCCTATCACGAGGACACAACTCTACCTCGCTACACACAGAGTGGACTCCAAATGTTCAGACTCGTCACCGCAGTCCATGGCACAGCGCCACCTAAGGAGCCTGCCACGGTTCAGCAGGCTCTGGGGGGGGAGCACAGAGACAAATGGCGCGAAGCCATGGACATGGAATTAAAAGCACTTGAAGAACGCAACGCCTGGAAGATCGTTCTCATTGGCATGGCACGCAACAAGACAATTTTCACCGGGAAATGGGTTTTCCGTGTGAAAACCAAAGCAGACGGCACCATCGATAAGTTCAAAGCGCGCTGGGTCGTACGCGGCTATGACCAAGAGCACGGATGGGGCTTCACCGAAACGTTTGCGCTGGCCAACCAACACAATCTCTGCGGATTCTCCTCGCGATAGCCGCCATGAAACGGACGAAGCTACGCCAAATTGACGTCTCCGACGATTTTCTCTACGCACCTGTCGATGCTGAAATCTTCGTCGAGCAACTGGACGGCTCCAACACAGACCCCAATAAAGTTTGTCAATTATTGAAGTCCCTGTACGGCTTCAAACAGGCCCCAAGACTGTGGCAGCAGTACCTACACGCCCGGTTAATCCGCATCGGATTCCAACAACTGTCGCGCGATCAAGGGTTGCACCGCTTCACGAAAGGAGTCGACTACATCTTGCTCATCGTCTACGTGGACAATCTGCTCTACATCGTCTCGACCGATGGCATCACGACCTGGTTCGAAGGGGAGCTGCAGCAGGAACATACGCTCACGGCTTCATCTACCGTAACGCAATACCTCGGGTTCAACATTCCAGAAGAAGAGAACGCGATCTACCTTAGCGCCGTGAATTACGCCGACACTATCGCCAAGCGCTTCAGACTAACTCCAGCCACCATCTCCATGCTGTGCCGCTACACCGAAGGAAATCACAAAGAAACCTCCGCTCCGCTCAAGTCCGCCAGCATACGCGACTACCAGCGAAAGCTGGGATGTCTACTCTTCGCAGCCGTCACCTGCTGACCGGACATATTGTACTCAGCGAGCCAACTCGCCACCTACCTCAAGAAACCTGAAGCAGAGCACATGGTACTGCGCACTCCACTACCTCGTCAGCACTCCGACGATCGGCCTAACCTACCACAAGACCGGAACCACGACGCCCAAGGTAATCGGCTATGTCGATGCTGACCACGCTGACGATTCTAACAACAGGCGCTCGCGCACCGACTACATCTACCGACTCGAGCCTATCGGACCTATCTCGTGGCAGTCGAGCAAACAGGAACTAATCGCCCTCTCCTCAGCTGAAGCAGAATATATCGCACTCTGCTCAGCCAATAAGGAAGGATTGTACCTTCGCGAACTGCTGGAAGAAGCGAAGTTGGCCGAGTTACCCAACTTCTCCCTGTTCTGCGACAACCAGTCAACAAATCACATAGCAAACAAGAACGGATTCGCGAACAGGACGAAGCACATCGCTCTGCGGTACTTCTTCGTGGAAAACGAGATCGAGAAGGAAGAGACTCGAACTATCCTACTGCCCCACATCCGAGATGGCAGCCGACTATTTGACCAAGAAGCTCGGAAAGCAGAAGTTCGAGTACTGCATGCTGCTGACTGGACAAGGCCACGTCACCAGCAGCGACACTCCAGAAGCGAAGGGGAGTGTTGGAAACAAGTGATTTAACGCTTCTTGAGTGCCGTAACACCGAACTGTAAACGAGGCAAACTACAGCACAGCAACGGCATCAACCGAGGAGCTTGACAGAAACAGCCGGAGGTTACGCGAAGGTCAAAGGTCACTGACCTTTGACTCGACAAATACAGCGCGACAGCAAGGACAAACAACTGACTCGTTATTGAGCAGTTGCCCGAGTCGTCATTGTATCGAACCGCAACAGCAACAGTAAAACAGTTATTTGCATCTTTGATATCATATAAAAGCGATGCTTTCATTCTATAATCAATCTATCTTGCCCTCACATACCAGCGCAAGGTGGTTCAACACTTATCATTAAACGCTTCCGCAACAACATCACTTTTACTCAAATCCTAAGGGCTTTTCTCAGCCCAACAGGGAGGAGGGCGTCTCACATCCAGGGGATGACAGCAGCTGCAGGCTCATAACAGGAACGGATGGACCCTGAGCTTGCTATGGTACAAAGATATTGGGGTGCTTGACTCCGTGAATTACAGTGCTGCGTAAGTTTAGTTGGTTACACAATTGTATGAACCATAGCAGCACCATCAGTCCTGCTTCACACTCGCAACGCTAGGAGAGCTGCGCGTGCTGCTACTCTTATGCCCTGTATTCTGATCTGGCGGCACCATTGGTGATAATCTTGCTGTGCTGCCTTGCTCTCTGGCACCAAAGTACCCTCCACCTCGCACAGCAGTGTCCAATGTTGCAGCCATTGCAGCTGCCGGTACCACCGGCAACGCATCAGCACCACCTGCCACGCTGTGCCCTCCCACATCCGCCCTTTGCTTGCCCGATTCACGAATGGGGGCGGCGGCGACAGTTGAAGCAAGCTCAACCCCGCCACCACTCCCCCTACCCCTACTGGCAGCACTACTGCTACTGCTACTGGTACAACTGCTGGAATCCACAGCAGAAGCATCAGGAGGTCGCGCAGGCACGGCAGGAGGTTGAAGAATCGGTGCATTTGCTGCTGGTTGGCTCTCAGTGGCTTGGCTTGGCAGCACGACCCTTGCCTTTTCCTCTGATGCAAGTTCGGGCATGGCAGAAGGAATGGGAGAAACGGCTAGTGGCAAGGCGGTAGTGGGAGGAGAGGGTGCAGTGGAGGAGGAACGTGCAACATCAGGGGCCACAGCAGAAGGAGTGGCAGGAGACGGAGGAGGGGCACGAGGAGGAGGAATTGGGCTGGCATGGGATGTCGAAGCAGCAGCAGCAGCAGCAGGAGGAGGAGCAGCAGGAGCATTTGCTCCAGCAGCAGCTGGAGCGGGAGCAGAAGGAGCAGGAGCAGCGGCAGCAGGAGCGGCCGGGGGAGGGGTGGGGGAGAGGGGGCTGGGAGTGGGGGTGGCGGAGGCAGCAGCGGCGCGCAGCAGCGTGGCGACCACCACGGTGTGGTTGTTGTCCCTCGCCTCGTCCATGGCCGTGCGCTGCCACCGGTCCCTCACACTCGGGCTCGCCCCCCCCTGCAGCAGAACCTGGTTGACACGGGTTGGGTTCAGGGCACGGGGTTTGATTTTCAGGGTTTGAAACTAAGAATTTGTGCCTTGAAATGCAGGTGGGAAAGCAGAATGAGTGGGTGTGGTTGTTGTTGTTAATGTTAGCCCTCAATCTCACTTTTTGTGCTTCTATATTCTATGTCCTAGGTTAGTGTAGGTTGCACTGTGTGTTTGGTTGGGTGTACATCCTCATCCCAACCAAACCCAAATGTGATCTCCAAGCAATCTCCAACCCACCAATTGGAGATTGCCTTGGGATTACCCCCAATCCCTAGAGATTGTCTCTGGTTCTCTTCCCCATCCTTTCCTTCCTCATTTCCAATTTACTTATAAAGCTTTGAGCTCACTACTATTGTATGGATTCTAAGCCTAAGTACTGACAGTTGTCCCTCGCCTCGTCTATGGCAGTGCGCTTCCACCGGTCCCGCACACTCAGGTTTAAAGAAGGAAGAAAGATGTAGGCGTGAATTCCGTTGCATGTGGTGTCCCCGTGTTCCCCCCACATCTGGGGCTCTCAGACCTTGCCGCAGAACCTGAATCATGTTCACCACATTGACTCGCAATCACGTGCACTCACCTTGCCTGACCCGGACTCGCATTGAATCTTCTTGACCCACCTGGACCACGTTGAGGAGGGCCTGGGTAGCAGACACATGCAGCATATGTGATGTGCCCATCATAGTCAGCCACGTTGACTCCCATCCCACAATCACTTGACTCCCATTGACCCCCTTTGACTCGTGTTGACCCACCTTGACCACGTTGAGGTGCCCCTTGACTCACCTTGACCACATTAAGGTGCCCTTTGACTCACCTTGACCACATTAAGGTGCCCCTTGACTCACCTTGACCACATTAAGGTGCCCCTTGACCCACCTTGACCACATTAAGGTGCCCCTCAGCAGCCGCGACGTGCAGCGCGGTGCGGCCGTCGTAGTCGGCAGCGTTGGGGTCGGCGCCAAACTCCAGCAGCCGCGCCAGCTGGTGCGAGTTGGACGAGCTCGCCAGGCGGCACAGGTGCGTGCCCTGGTTGCGCAGATGCAGCTCGCCGCCGTTGCTGCAGGGGATTTGGGGAGGCGGATAGGGGAAGCGATGAAAGAAATGTGGTGTGCGAGGTTTGGTGAATGCGCCAGCTGGTGCGAGTTGAGGGGCTGGCGAGTCGGTGCAGGTGCGTGGCCTGGCTGCGCTGATGCAGCTCGCCGCCGTTGCTGCAGGGGGGGGGGGAGGATTGAGGGGGAAGAGGTGGATTGCAGAGAGGAGAGCGGGGACGAGTGGGAGAAGGGACGGGGAAAGAGCGGGGTAAGTGAGGGGAGCGTATGGGTGGGGATGAGCGGGAGGGCCGTGCAGGCATTGGCAACTGGGCCAGCTGGTGCGAGTTGGACGAGCTTGCCAGGCGGCACAGGCGTGTTCCTCAAGTGCACTGGCTGGGCTGGAAAGTGCGCTCAAGCTCTTCTCCGGTGGTGGAGCTCACATGTGACGCTTGGTGAGGGAGACTGAACAAGGGCAGGGGCAAGGGGGAGAAGAGAGGGGGAGTGGACACGGGGAGAAGAGAGAAGGGAAACAAAGTGTGAGTGGAGTGAAAGGAGTGTGAAGCAGCTTGGGCAGCTGTGGTAACTGGTGGGAGTTAGCAGGCCTTCACACCCTTTCTCCTGCAGGGAGCACAAGAGAGTGCCTTGTGTGTGCGCATGAGTGCACGGATGGGCTCACCTGCAGGACTGGAAGGGGGGAAGAGAGGGAGAGTGAAAGGCGCGCCGGCGGGTTGTGGTGGTGGTGGAGCAGGCGAGGTGGCACGTGTGCTTCCGGTGCTTGCGCGGCTGGGTCATTCCCTGGTGGCTGGGGGGAGAGGTGGGAGGGGTGTGATAGAATTCAAGAGAATAGTTGAGTAATGAGCCAAGGAGGCTCTATAGTACAAGCATGCAAGGAAGAGAGGTTGGAAGAAGGTGCAACCCTATTGGCCACTAAGTTGGCCAATGGGTGAGTTGCCTTGTGGAGTAGGGAACCCCACAATGTTGCTAGCTTGTGATTGGTTGGCCTTAGGACCAAATGTTGGCAAGTGCCAACCAAGGACCAAGACCAAACCAAATCTTGACCCAACCACAAAGTGTGGTTGGAGTGTACACCCAACCCCCCAATAGCTTAAAGAGCTACACCTATTCTAGCCTATGTATGTTGTATATATAAGATACATTTACAACACAACCCCCCAACATGCATAAGGCTAGAAAAAATGTAATCAGGAGGCCGCCAAAACTGGTGGCGGGGTGAGCCCAAGGAGACGCAACAGGAAGGAGTGGGACGCTAGGGGAAGAGCTTTGGTGAAGATGTCGGCGAGGTTGGCTGCCGAGTCGATTTTGCCAAGACGAATGTGGCCGGCCTCAACGAGATCGCGAATGAAGAAGTAGCGAAGCTCAATATGTTTTGAGCGCCCATGATACACAGCGTCCTTGGTGAGGTGGATGGTGCTGGCGTTGTCACACCAGATGGTGGGACAGCGTTGGGGGGCTCCGAGCTCATCAAGGAGGAAGGTGAGCCAGCGTGCTTCTTGCGCGGCCATGGTCGCAGCATAGAGCTCTGCTTCGCAGGAGGAGAGGGCGACGGCAGAGGAGCGTGTGGACCGCCAGCTGATGAGACCGCTGCCGAGGGAGAAGCCATAGCCCTGAGAGGACCGCCGATCCGGTCGAGAATCAGCCCAGGAAGAGTCGCTGTAGCCGTTGAGGTGTGGTGGGGAAGGGCCGCCAAGAGTGAGGACATAGTCCTTGGTGCCACGAATGTAGCGAAGGACACGCTTGGCGGCCTGCCAGTGCTCTTCCGTGTGCTTGCCAGCGCCAACGAACCGAGCGAGGACGCTGATGGGGTAGGCAAGATCGGGGCGAGTGGAAACCATGGCGTACATGAGAGAGCCGATGAGTTCCGGATAAGGATGGGAGGAGGGAGAGGGAGAGGAGGGTGGGGAGAGGTGGTGCCCAACCGAGAGGGGAGTGGGCTGGGGGTTGCCGCGCGCCATGTCAAACCGGTCCAAGACCTGCTGGAGGTAGTGACCCTGAGAGAGTGAGATGGTGCGGGCGGAGCGGTCGCGAGTGATGGTCATGCCGAGGTAGTTCTGCAGCTCTCCCAGGTCTTTGCACTTGAGACGGCTGCCCAGCTCCGCCTTGACAGTCTCGAGCTCGGCAAGGTCGGCGGTGAGGAGGATCATGTCGTCAACATAGACGAGGATGTAGAAGGGGGAGGGAGAGGTGCGGAGGAAGAGGCTGGCGTCAGAGCGGGAGGTGCGAAAGCCAAGCTCAGCAAGGGTGGCAGCAAGCTTGGCATGCCACTCCCTGGGTGCCTGACGGAGCCCGTACACGGGTCGGCGCAGCTGCCAGACGGAGTCGGCGGGGAAGGGGAGGTGGAAGCCGTCTGGGCGCTCCATGTAAATGAGTTCACGTAGTACGCCTTGCAGGAAGGCGTTGGAGACATCCATCGAGTGGATCTCCATGTTGAGGCGAGCGGCGAGGTCGAGTACAGCGCGAACGGTAGCAGGTTTGGCGGTGGGGGAGAAGGTGTCGAAGAAGTCAAAACCATACCGCTGCGTGAAGCCCTTGGCGCAATACCGGGCCTTGTAGACGGGCGGTTCTCCTGGTAGCTGCTTGACGCGAAACACCCACTTCCCCTTTACCACGTTCGTAGAGGAGGGAGGGCGAGGGACATCAACGAAGGAGGAGTTGGCGATAAATGCCTCGAGCTCCTTGATGATGGGTTAGGGCCCCAGAGGTCCATGTGAACAAGATCAAGTGGCTGAGCAGCAGCGGAGGGGGAGCTCCGGTGCGGCTGCTGCTTGAGCTTGCTCTGAACGCAGACGACGCAAGGGGGGGCAGGGGACTTTGGGAGGGGAGAGAGGGAAGAGGGGAGACCGTGGAGGAGACCGGAGGATACAGAGGAGCGCAGAGTGGCGAAGTTGGGGTGACCTAGCCTGTGATGGAGGAGGATGGCAGGGTGGGAGAGGGAGCGACATGAGCAGTCAGAGTCAGGGGGGCGGGGGGGGACGGGTGGGTTAGTGGAGGGGAGGGGAGGGGGGGGAGGGAAGAGGGGGGGGGGGGGCAACTTGGAAGGTGAGGGGGCGAGGAACTCGAAGGGTGTATAGACGGGTGCGGGGACAGTAAGGAATACGGGCGAGGAAACGACCTGTGGAGGTGTGGTAGAGATCACAATGGTTAGCACCACCTGGGGTGAGAGTGGTGATCATGGATTGTTGGAGGGACCTTTGGGAGAGGAGGTTGGTGCGAAGGGAGGGAATGTGAAGACCTGTGACAGTACCTGAGGGAAAGAGAGGACAGGGAAGGGTGGAGGTGTTGTGACAGGGGATGGAAAAGCTGCTATCAGCGCCAAGGAGGGACGTGGATGTGGGAAGAGGATTGAGTTTGCCGGCATCTCGAAAGACATTATCAGTGGCTCCACTGTCCAAGACGAACTCAAGGGTGGAGGAGGGTGAGGCGGAATACTGAATTGAGGTTTCATTAATAGCAGGGGCATACATAGGAGATGCAACAGAAGGAGGCTGACTAAGGAGACCAACAAAGCCAGAGGAGGGAAAGGGGGTCACACTGCCACCTGTGGACGGCGCAGGGGATGGACCGGAGAGGTGGGCCGCAGAGGCGGCATTTCCGGCGGTCCAGCTGGGAAACGGCTGCTGCTGGGGGACAGGAGGAGGAGGGAGGAGAGGAAGTTGGGGCTGGAGGTCGAGCTGCTGCTGGAGCTGCTGCCCATACTGCTGCGGTCCCTGCTGCTGGACACTCTGCTGCTGCTGCTGCTGCTGCTGCTGCTGCTGCTGGTGCTGGTGCTGCTGCTGAGAGGGGAGAGCAAAGGCCTGGTGGGCCTGGGAGGAGGAGGAGGGGGCGTAGAGGGGAGAGGTGCGAACATCGAGGGGAGTGGGGCGGGGAGTAAGGGCGGACCAGCGAGGAGGGGTGCCAGAGTTCCCACGAGCGAACCACTCATCGCTGAGTGCCTTGAAGCACGTGTCAGTTGCATGAGTGGTTTGGTTGCAGCGTTGGCCTCGGGTGGGGCCATAGAGGGGAAGATACTGACAGGGTGGGAAGGCCGCTGCTGCCCCACGACCCGCACCACCACGACCGCCAGAGCCGCCTCGACCACCACCACGCCCACCTCCACGCCCTCCCCCACGTCCGCCCTTGCCGCTGCGCTGCTGTGCTACCGCGGCAGTGGAGGAGGAGTGGCGAAGGATTTCAGCCTCAGTGGTGATAATCCACTGGGCAACTTGAGCGGGAGTGTCATGCTTGGAGAGGAGTTGCATGTATGCGAGCTTGTGGGCATCGAAGGCGGGAGTGAGGCCTTCGAGGAGGTGGCAGCAGATGACAGTGTCAGGGTAGGTAACGCCAAGTGCTGCGAGGCGGCGAGCAAGGTCAAGGACGCGGCGAGTAAAGGCGGCTGCGCCGGCAGTGGAATCCATGGTGATGGATCCAAATTCCTTGATGAGGGCATAGAGGGTGGCGATGTCCTGCCGGTCAAAGAGGTCGACAAGCAGTTGCCACAGGTGGGAGGAGGAGGTAGGTGAAAGCTCTCGTTTGAGGGAGGAGGGGATAGTGGCGAGGAGGATGGCGAGAGCTCGACGGTCAGCAATGCGCCACGCAGCGATGTCGGTGGTGTAGCTGGCGAGACGTGTAGTGTACGTGGCGAGTCGAGCTTGGTAATCGCGGTGGCGGGCAGCAGCCTCGTCGTAGGCGCGCTTGTCGTCCTCATAGCGCAGTTGACGGCGAAGGTGGTCGTTGAGTGCGGTGCGGTAGGTACGGATGGCAGTTTCCATGCTCTGAGGATTGTTGACATCCGGCGCGAAGGTGGGAGGATCACCAGGAGGCTCGGGCTCAGGTCCGGGCTCGTCAGGAGGAGGTCCGGTGGGGGCGGAAGGGGCGATGGGCTGGAGTCCGCCTTCCTCCTGGAACACGACGGAACGGAGGGTATATCCGCTGACGACAACCGAGGAGAGCAACACCTCGACGGAGTGGGCATAAGAGTGCCAGTTGGCGGCCGAGTTGTCGCCCAACAACTCGAGAGAGTCAATGGTCGCCAGGTCGACCGATGAGTCTGCGGACGCCATGATGGCGAAGTCGGGAAGGTGCTGCTGCTAGAGCTGTTGAAGGTGCCGCTGCTGGTGCTGTTGAAGGTGCCGCTGCTGGTGCCGTTGGGAGGTGCCGCTGCTGGTGCCGTTGAAGGTGCCGCTGCTGGTGCCGTTGAAGGTGCCGCTGCTGGTGCCGTTGAAGGTGCCGCTGCTGGTGCCGTTGAAGGTGCCGCTGCTGGTGCCGTTGAAGGTGCCGCTGCTGGTGCCGTAACAGGGTGGCGCTGCTGGTTTAGGGTTAAAGGTCGCTGCTAGGTGCTGTTGCTGGTGCGATTAAGGGTGAAGTAGGGGGGGGGAGGAGGTAGGGGAGAGGAAGGATGGCGCGGAAGTGTGGGGCAGGGCGCGGATGAAGGGGGGAGGTTGCGCAGGTCAGTCGCGGCGGCGCGTCGGCCGCCCGTGAGAGCGCGAGGGTCGGCCGCGGCTCTGCGTCGGCCGTCCGCGTCAGTGCGAGGGTCGGCCACGGCTCTGCGTCGGCCGTCCGCGTCAGCGCGAGGGTCGGCCGCGGCTCCGCGTCGGTCGTCCGCGTCGGCGCGGAGGTCGTCGGCGATCGCGCGGCGGCCGTTCGGGATGGCGCACAGGTCGGCCGCGACTCCGCGCTGGCCGTCCGCGTCGACGCGCGGGGTGCTCGTGGCCGCGGGCTGGCCGTCCGCGACGGTTGGCTGGCCGTCCGCGACGGCTTGCGGGCCGTCCGCGACGGCTTGCTGGCCGTCCGCGACGGCTTTCTGGCCGTCCGCGACGGCTTTCTGGCCGTCCGCGACGGCTTTCTGGCCGTCCGCGACGGCTTGCTGGCCGTCCGCGACGGTGTGCTGGCCGTCCGCGACGGAAGGCGTGAGGGAGGGGTGGCGGCGGGAGGGAGGATTGAGGCCGCGGGAGAGCGGTCGGAGGCCGCGAGAGGGAGGATTAAGGCCGCGGGAGGGAGGATTGTGGCCGCGGGAGGGAGGATTGAGACCGCGGAGGAGTAGATCTGAGCCGCGGAAAGCTAGATCTGAGGTACGGGAGGGAGGATTGAGGCCGCGGAGGAGTAGATCTGAGCCGCGGAAAGCTAGATCTGAGGTACGGGAGGGAGGATTGAGGCCGCGGGAGGCTAGATCTAAGACGCGGAGAGGAAATTACGGCCTAAGGATCGAGGGAGGTGGCGTGAGCCATTTGGCTCTGAATACCATGATAGAATTCAAGAGAATAGTTGAGTAATGAGCCAAGGAGGCTCTATAGTACAAGCATGCAAGGAAGAGAGGTTGGAAGAAGGTGCAACCCTATTGGCCACTAAGTTGGCCAATGGGTGAGTTGCCTTGTGGAGTAGGGAACCCCACAATGTTGCTAGCTTGTGATTGGTTGGCCTTAGGACCAAATGTTGGCAAGTGCCAACCAAGGACCAAGACCAAACCAAATCTTGACCCAACCACAAAGTGTGGTTGGAGTGTACACCCAACCCCCCAATAGCTTAAAGAGCTACACCTATTCTAGCCTATGTATGTTGTATATATAAGATACATTTACAACAGGGTGGAGGGGGCGAAAGGGGGAGGAAGGCGGCATTGGAGAGAAACGGGGAGTTGCGAATAGGAGGGGGAGAAGTAGGAGAGTGCAAGAGAAGTGAAGGAGTGCCAGCACCTGAGGAGCAAGGCCGACACATGTGGGAGGTGCAAGGAGGGCACAGTACACATGGCACAGTACACATGGCACAGTACACATGGCAGAGCAGAGCAGAGCAGAGCAGAGCAGGGCGGGCTGACCTTCTGCCTTCCGACGGGCCTGGCAGAGCAATGGCAGAACAATGGCAGAGAGCGGTGGGCAGAGCAGAGGCAGAGAGCGGTGGGCGGTGGGCGGAGCACTGACCTGCGGAGGATCTGAGCGGTGCTCCAGTGGTAGTGCACGCTACAGATGGCATGGCACCGCAGTGCAGAGCAGGGCGGGCTGACCTTCCAAGGAGCCTGGCAGAGCAGAGGCAGAGCGAAGCACTGACCTGCGGAGGATCTGAGCGGTGGTCCAGTGGCCGGCAGCAACGGCCTCCTGCAGGGGGGTGCGCCAGAAGGCGTCCTTGGCGTTCACCTGCGCGCCGTGCGCTAGTAGGAACGCCACCACCTTGTCCTGCCCTGTCACTGCTGCTAGGTGCTGGATATAGCATGGAAGGGGATGAGGGGAGAGTGGGGAAGGGGGGGAGGACATGGTGTGGTGTGGCGGGGAAAGGAGGTCAGAAGGCGTTCTTGGCTGAATCAACCTGATTAGCCAGCGAAACAACGCGCTGCACTCATCTCACATTCATATCACCATGGGTGTGCGGCCATCTCATCTCACCATGGGCGTGCGGCCATCTCATCTCACCATGGGTGTGCGGCCATCTCATCTCACCATGGGTGTGCGGCCATCTCATCTCACCATGGGCGTGCGGCCATCGTAGTCGGCGGCCGCCACATCGAAGCCGCCAGCAGCGAGGCGGAAGCACTCCAGCATGTCGCCACGCTTGGCCGCGTAGCACAGGTTCATCAGCGTCTCCTGCACCAGCCGGTTGCGGAACGACTGGTGAGGAGGGGAGAGGTGGGACAGGGTGGTGGAGGGGAGAGGGGATAGGGCTTGGGTCTCTAGAATGCCATCAGGGGAGGAAAAGGGTTGCCGCGTAGCACAGGTTCATCAGCGTCTCCTGCACCAGCCGGTTGTGGAACGACTGGGGAGGAGGGGGGAGTGGGTGGGACAGTGGAGAGAGTGGGGCAGGGTTGACACTACAGATGGTCACAGTGTCTCCTGAGCCCTGCACCGGGTGTCCGCCCCCTGGCCACACCCCGCATGTCCCCTTCCCCCTGCCATCCATGCTGCCATGCTGCCTTGCTGTCATGCAGCTCCCCCCCTACCATCTCACCTCAACCTCGTCCTTCAGCAGCAGAGACAGCTCCGCCAGGTGCTCTTGCCATGCTGTTGCCATGCTGTTGCTGCCAAGTCCTTTCAGACCACACCAACTCCTCCCTAACCTCCCCCCCCCCACCACCTCACCTCGACCTCGTTCTTGAGCAGCAGAGACAGCTGCGTGATGGTGCTTTTGCCATGCTATTACATGCTGTTGCTGCACATGGTCCTTCCAGACCACACCAACTCCTCCCCACCCTCCCTTCCCACCAGCTCACCTCAACTTCGTTCTTGAGCAGCAGAGACAGCTCCGCCATGGTGCTGTTGCCGGGGTAGAACCGTGCCGTTGCCTCCGCTCTGCTGCGCGCCCTGCACAAGTCGCGGGGGCAGGGGAAGAGTGGGTGGAAAAGATGTGATGTCGCGCTTGGGATGATGAGGCAAGGATTATAACCCATGCGAGGGGCCGAGGGATTAAGAGAAAAGTAGGTACGGCCCGAGCCACACTGGCTTCTTTGTGTGGAACCTCGAAACAAGTCGAACCGGTTCAGTTCAATGCGCTTCGTCTGGACAAGAAGAACCGAGCCAAACAGTTCCGAGTGATCTCTTGTCGGTTCGGGTCCAACCATTTTGACGAAAAGGTTCTATGCTCGTGACTACACAACACCCACCGGTTGAGCAGGTTGGCGATGACGTGGCGGTCGTCAGCGGGGTGCGTGCGAGCCACGGAGCGGTAGTCGTCCCGTGAGATGGAGAGCACCCGACACACCGACAGCGTGCGCACCGTCCACAGCTCCGTCAGGTCGCACAGGAACGCGATCTCTGTGGTGCCAGTTCGGGGGGGCGAAGGGGAGGATAGGAGTAGGGCAGCATGTGAGGCCTTAACCTGGTTCGATAGCACACTGACAGCACGCGCACCGTCCACAGCTCCGTCAGGTCACACAGGAAGGCGATCTCTGGCAGGGGAGTGGAGATTTGGAGCAGAAGGAGGAGCGTAAGGGGGCACAGTCGCACCTGAAGAATTAGGGTGCACGTCCCACAGCTACATCAGGCTGTACTAGAAGGGCGGACGCAGTGCACGTCGGGGAGGAGGGGCAAAGGGTGACAAGACTAGGCAGGGGAATAAGAAGAGCACATGACTTTGAGATGAAGTAACTCAACAAATAGGAAGGTGCTGTACACCAAAGCTGCATAAAGCCGCACCGAAAGGTATTATCTGCCAGATTGTGCAGCAGAAGCATACGCAACCTCTGAGAAAGTTTGAAAGAGAACACATAGGGTAAAGGGTAGGGAACACGTGAGTTTGAATTCGTTACAGAAAGAAATACCACTTATCAGGCGGGGTGGAGGTAGTGCAGGGCAGTCAATAGGCTTGGTAATACCCACTTTCGTCTCCAAGCCCCCTGTTCTCAGCTCACCCCCTTCCATCTGCTGAGCTTCATAACTTTCAGCCACCTCCTTTGCTCCCAGCATGGCCGCCTGGCTTGCACAGCTCACCTCCCACGCAGTCCCCCTCATGCAGCACAAACCACTGCATCTCGTTGCCATCCTTGTCACGCACGAGCACCTGAGGAAGGTAGAGAAACAAGAGAAGCTCAGGAAACACAGTGATGCTGCGGTTATTGTGTTTTTCTTGGGGTTGGGAGAGTGGGAGCAGTACGAACCACTGCATCTTGTTACTGCCCTGTCGTGTACTAGCACCTGTGAGAGGGAGCGGGAGAGTGTGTGAGGAAGAGTGACAAACAGAGCACCAGCAGAACATGAAGGGAGAAGTTTCGACTCTCCACACCCCTGCCTGCGCCCACACCCCTGCCTGCGCCCACACCCCTGCCTGCGCCCACACCCCTGCCTGCGCCACACCCCTGCCTGCGCCACACCCCTGCCTGCGCCACATCCCTGCCTGCGCCACACCCCTGCCTGCGCCACACCCCTGCATATGACGTGAAGTACTCACCTGCGCCTGCCCGAAGGCAATAATGAGCAGCTCCGCAGTGCTGTTCCCAGCCCAGCCGTGCTCTATGGTTCCTCTGCCCACACCTCGCTGTGCCCACACCTCGCTGTGCCCACACCTCGCTGTGCCCACACCTCGCTGTGCCCACATCACCACGTTGCCTGCACCATCAAGCACGCACCTGCGCGTGCCCCGAGGCAATGATGAGCAGCTCCGTGGTGCTGTTGCCAGCCCAGCCATGCTCGCTGTGCTCACACCACCACATTGCCGCCCTATACCATGGAGCACTCACCTGCGCCACGAAGCACGCACCTGTGCCTGCCCCGAGGCAATGATGAGCAGCTCCGTGGTGCTGTTGCCGGCTGCCACCAGGTCCACGTGTGGCAGGAAGAAATCCACATTGGCCCTCGTTGTCACTTGGTCCTGCAGGCATGTTTGCACCCACGCACATTTGCACACACGCACGCACGCGCGTGCACACACACACACACACATGGTGGGTTGGGGGGATGAGAACGGTTTTTAAGAGTGGTTGTGAGTAAGGGAGTATGCAATGAGCTTGGGACAAGCAGCCTCGGTGCAAACACTTGAGTGTGGATTACAGGAGATAAGGGTGATACAGGTCAAACGGTATAGGGAGACAGGGTGAGTCGTATGGGAGGGGTCGCATGAGAAGTGACGCATGGGAGGTGGCGTGTGGGAGCAGGCGAATAGGCGGGGGGCATATGGGCATAGAAGCGAGGTAACTCACTCGGAAGACGTTGGAGGTGCCGGCGAAGAGGTAGGAGGAGTTGACGAAGCGCGAGTACACGTGGCGCTTCACCAGCGTGCGCACTGATGATGGGCAGTGCAACAACACATCGTCCCTCACCTGCTTGCATGCATGCATGCACACATGCAGGCATGCACACACGCACACGTGCACACGTGCATGCACACATGCACACGTGCATGCACACATACACACATGCACACAGGCGCATGTACACTTGCCGACATGGATGCACACAACACCGGGAAGATGGGCAGTGAGATTCGAGTCCACACCATCCCGCTGGCCGCTGCACGCACTCACCCACCCTCACATGAAACCCCATATAACTCCTTGCTATCCCCTCCCTCTCACCTCCGCCGCGTTGAAATGCAGCTTCAGGTGCGCCTGCACCTGGTCCTGCTCAGAGAATCGAGTTCACTCCATGCCACTCATCTCTGTCGCATGCACCACTCAACCCCACAGTGCACCCCCCTCACCTTCGTTTTACATCCCTCTCACCTTCGTTTTACATCCCTCTCACCTCGGAAGTGTCAAAGTGCAGCTTCAGGTGCGCCTGCACCTGCTCCTGTAGTGAGGCTGGCACAACATGTGCGCGCATGTACCTAGGGGGGATGAAGAATGCAGAAGGATCACGAAGTGGGATGGGATGAACGTTTGGATGGACCTACTGGTCAATCGATCATGCTGCCTAACTCAGCTTTGGTTGAACCCATCCTTTTCCACTTATACGTCTACCTTTCACTTGACTTTCTCTCAACAAGCACACATACCCGCGCACACACACTGCGCCTCCCCATCTCTTCCCTCCCCCCACACACAGCATGCAGGGCCCACCGGTTGATGGCGCTGAGGCGGTCGCGGTAGGTGGCGGTGTGGGCATCGGCCTTGGTGAGCAGCACGGTCATGTTGCCCAGCACGTACGCCGTCAGGCCCAGATTCACCAGCATGAACAGTGCTGCCCAGATTCGCTCCGGCACTGTGAACGCTGACAGGTCGCCGTAGCCTGCAGTGGGGGGTGGTGGGTTGAGTGGATGATCTGAACGGGTGAATGCACTGAGGGAGAAAATGCAGAGAGGGGGTGATTGTGCAAAGAGAGAGAGTGCATTAAGGAGCGCTAAGGGATTGCATTCATTAAGGGAGTGAATGCACTAAGCAAGTGGGATTGGGAGTCCTGTTGGCAGGCCGGGTGGGCTGAAGTGGGGGGCTCATGAATTGAGAAGTGAGGAAGAGCGAATTTATGGATGAATGATAAGGCTCACATGCGCTCTCATGCACTCACATGCGCTCTCATCCACGCTCTCATGCACCCACAAACAGTTATGGCGCAGGACCTGTGGTGGAGAGGGTGGTCATCGCCCTGCAGGACCAGCAGCACATGGCGCCAAGAGTAGAAGCACCGAACCAAATTCGCCGACGCCGTACGAAGCAAGAGCGCGCATCCCATGTTGAGGCGATGATCGTCCCACGGGGGCCAAGATTGTGGCGGGAGACAGGCACAGAGGCAATGCGGATGGTGTTGATGATGATGCGAGTGAGTGGAAGGGGTGGGAGGGACAAAGGAGACACACGCGGAAAGGCACGTTCCGTGAGCAGATGCATGCAGACAGAGAAAGACACATATCACATGATTGGTATACCGTGCCAAGTGCTGTTTCCGATTGCAGCATTCCATGCAGACGAGAAGACATGGATCACATAAGCTAAACTATGGCAACCAATTGATGCGAGGGGAAGAGAGAACCAAAGGGGCTATTGACACGTCGTTGGGTTGGGATGCACAGGAGGCGCAATGGGTGCCTTCCTTCTTTGGGTCATTTCAGGAACTGGACTGCTAAAATGCCAGGGCAGTAGGCGACTATGATGAGGTGGTTCGGTAGCACATCGGAATCAGATATTGAGGGTGGGGTAAACCGGGGAACAGGTAGCAGCGCACCAGTAGATGGATGTGACGTAGGCGTCGAGCGGAGGGCGCAGAGGCAGGTCGGGCTCACAGTGGCCCACCCACTGGGATGGGGAAATGAGCAGCGGGAGGTGGACGAGAACGAAGTTTGGGAGGGGGACGAGAACGAAGTTTGGGAGGGGGACGAGGATGCAATCAAGAGGGTGGTGAAGCGGGAGGAAGGGAGAGAAGAGGAAAGAGAGAGATGTGGAGGTGGGAGGAGATGGATGACAAGGAATGAAGAGTGGTGGCAGGGGTATTGGAGCAGACAGCCCTGTTGGCAGCTCACCGTATCCTTGCTGAAGTTGCACACAGGAAGGCCAGCACACAACCTGGTGGACAAAGAGGCGTGACATACAGCCCACCATGCCTAGCAGCACAGCCCACCATGCCTAGCAGCGCAGCCCACCATGCCTAGCAGCACACAACCCACCATGCCCGGCAGCGTGATTGTGGCTCCGGCACTCATGAAGACACATCACAATCACGCCACACAACATGCAACCGCAGCTCACCGTGTCCTCACTGAAGTTGCGCACGCGCGCGAGGAGGAAGAAGACACAGGCGGACCAGTGGGCGGCGAAGAGGATGAGGAGGGCGAACTTGTGCACACTGGTGGAGATGTAGTCGTAGCGCACGTCCACTGCCATGTCCCACAGCACGTTCCAGCTGGGAAGGGGGGGAAGAGGGGAATGCGCCACACACACACACACACACACACACACACACACACACACACACACACACGTGGGTACGGAATGCAGCGAACCACAGATGTAGTCCTCAAAGTGCACTTGCACTGCCATGCCCCACAGCACGTTCCACCTGGGAGGCATGGAGGCGGGGAAACGATCGGGTAGAGCAGAGGGGCATTGAGAGGGGAAGTCAGAGTGCATCAACGCCATGGAGGGAGTTCTGCCTGCAACGCAATGCACGGAGAAGGGGGGAGCGATGGCAGAAAGCTAATCATGGAGAGAGAGGGGTGATGGATGGGGTTGAGCAGAGGGGAGCGATGGGATGGGATGAGGTGCATCACAGAGGACGTCATAGCACACCGCGACCACAGGCAGCTCTCCCTGACAGGCAGGCGGCCCTCACATGAAGGTGGCCCTCACATGAAGGTGGCCCTCATCACATGAAGGTGGCCCTCACTGACAGGCGGATGAGGCGCAGCAGTCGCAGCAGGCCGAAGGCGGAGAGGGCGACAGCAGCGGTGCCGGTGGGCTGATAGACGCCCTTGAGCACCAGATCCCATGGCAGCGCTGCTAGCACGTCGTACCAGAACATGCCCCGTAGGTACCTGAGGGGGAGAGGACGAGAAGAGACATGAGAAGAGAAGGGGGGGAAAGGGTAAGGAAGAAAAAAGAGGCAATTATAAGAGTGGCATATGAATGGTCACACTCAGCAGTGGGAACGTGCGTGTGTAATGTAAGTAGCACTTAAGGAAATGGAAAGAGTACACATGCTTACTCGACGGCAATGCTGGCGAGGCTGGTCTTCCACTCGCCCATGCGGAACTCGGGCACGAAGAAGGAGAGCAGCACGTCGCTCAGAAACACCTGCGGGGCACATGAAGAGGCAAGGGGCGAGAAGAGGCAAGGGCCGAGAAGAGGCAAGGGGGACGAAGCGAAGGGGGACAAAGTGGCAAAGGGGGGTAGCACATGAAATGAGAGAGTGCCATCAAAACGAAGAGCAGCTCGTTGCTCAAGACGTCAAGGAGAGGATGGGGCGAGGAGGGGTTGGGGAGGGGGCGATGAGAGGCAGAGCCACAGAGCGGAGCACAGAAGAAACGCTCGCACCTCATGTGGAGCAGGAGGCGAGGCAAGGAGCATGGCGAGGCGGGAAAAGGTGGGAAGGGGAAGTGCATGGCTCAGGATGACTCTGCTGCCCTGATGATAAGGATTTCACTCCATGGCACGACCACCCCATCCCGCACTCCGCATTGAGCACTCTGCATTAAGCACTCACGGCGTCGGTGCAATAGATAAAGACGTTGACCGGCGTGAACACGTTCTCTGTATCGAGGAACGCGACGTTGAAGGGCTCAACGATGCCGATGAGGATGGCCAGCAGCAGCAGCGCCGCCTGGAACTGCTGGTACAGCGATGCCTGTGGGTTGACCACCCAGTCCGACAGATACACCGAATCTGGCCCGCCCTCGCCCCCCTCGCCCTCCCCTGCCGCCTCGCTCGATGGCGGCACCTCTGAGATGGCCTGAAGGCAGGATGGGATGCGATGGGATGGGACGGGATGGGATGGGATGGGATGGGATGGGATGGGATGGGACGGGATGGGATGGGATGGGGTGGGATGGGATGGAATGGGATGGGATGGGATGGGATGGGACGGGATGGGACGGGATGGGGCGGGATGGGACGGGATGGGGCGGGATGGGACGGGATGGGGCGGGATGGGATGGGATGGGATGGGATGGGATGGGATGGGATGGGATGGGATGGGATGGGATGGGATGGGATGGGATGGGATGGGATGGGATGGGATGGGATGGGATGGGATGGGATGGGGTGGGATGGGGTGGGATGGGATGGAATGGGATGGGATGGGATGGGATGGGATGGGGTGGGGAGGGATGGGATGGGGTGGGGAGGGATGGGATGGGGTGGGACGGGATGGGACGGGACGGGACGGGACGGGACGGGACGGGACGGGACGGGACGGGACGGGACGGGACGGGACGGGACGGGACGGGACGGGACGGGATGAGACGGGATGGGACGGGATGGGACGGGATGGGACGGGATGGGACGGGATGGGACGGAATGGGACGGGATGGGACGGGATGGGACGGGATGTGACGGGATGGGGCGGGATAGGACGGGATGGGGCGGGATGGGACGGGATGGCGGTGCCTCTGAGATGGCCTGAGGGCGGGATGGGACGAAGAGCGGTGGGGTGGGGTGTGGGTGGGATGGGTGGGGTAGTGTGGGGCGGGATGGGTGGGGTGGGTTGGGGTGGGGTGGGGTGTGGATGGGATGGAATGGGATGGGTGGGATGGGAAACGGGTCAGGCACTGGAGAGTGCGAAACAAACAGCACAAATCCAAAGCAAGCAGGCGCGTCCCAACCCAAGCATCCCAGGCGGCTTCAACTACTGACCTCGAACATACTCCCGCTGTACATATCCCCGCGGTGAAAGCTACTCTCCGGAGTCACATTCAAGCTGTTGCTCCCACTCCCCCCTCCCCCACCCGCACTGCCAAAGCTCCCAACACTCCCGCCACTGTCAGCCCGGGACAAACTGCGGCGCCCACTCCCAACGCTGCCGGCCGCCCCGGGCGCCAGCAGGTGCTGCTGCGAGGCGAGGGAGTCGTCGGAACCAGAGCCTTTGCGGCGGCGGATGGACTCGAAGCGCAGCATGGAGGCCGACTTGTGCAGAATGGCCCTCAGCTCGGGGGACTCGAGCGGTGCCAGGCGGGATTGCAGTGGCTGGTGGGGGAGAGGAGGGGGTAACGGGGAGGTGAGGGGAGTTCGCAAGGGAGTTGGGGGATGCAAGGGGGGGGGGAGGAGAGAGTTGTGGTTGTTACAGAAGGGCCTGCACCCCCTGCTCGAGGCCATCAGCGGGGTCCCTCTCCCCACGCTCGTCCCTCTCCCCACGCTCGTCCCTCTCCCCACGCTTCTCTCCCTCTCCCCACGCTTCTCTCCCTCCCCCACGCTTCTCTCCCTCTCCATGCTGCTACCTCTCCCCACCCTCGTCCCTCTCCCCGCGCGCATCCCTATCCCCACAGCTCTCGCCATCGCCCACGGTGCTCAAGAGCAAGCTGCACGCACCTGCTCGAGCCCCTCAGCGGGATCAGCCCTCATTCCTCTCCCCACGCTCATCCCTCTCTCCACTGAGACGGCTAAAAGGCAACCTGCACGCACCTGCTCCAGCCCATCAGCGGGATCGCCGCTCATCCCCCTTTCCACTGCCCGCGCTATCGCCCACGGTGCGGCGCTCCCCCTCTCCTCCACCTCCCCGCCTCTCCCCGCAGCACCCCCTCCTGTTGCTGGCCCCACTCCTGCCGGACCCGCGCCTGCCGCCCCTTCGCCGCGCATGTCGACAGTAAACGCGAACGCCTCGTGGTTGCTGTACGCCGCAACCGGCGCCGCGTGTGGCGGCGCAGCAGACGCCGCAATTGGCGACGCAAATGGCGAGACGGACGGGCTTCGATAATCCCTGTCTGTGGCTTCTGCATGAAAGGCCCAGTTCGATGCTGACGTGGAATCCGCAGAACGCGCCGTGTGGACAGGGGATACCGTCGCTCCCGACCCTGTCACTGGTGTTAATCCGACGGTTCCCGATGTTTCAAATGCAGATGGTGAAGGCGATCCTACGGCCGCAGCTGACGATGATCCTACGGCCCAGGAGGACCCGCCGCTGCGGTTGCTACTTGCGGATGCCGTTCCTCGGACGTAGCCGGGAGCAATCAACGGCTGGTTCTCCTCCTCTCGGGGTTCCATCTGTCACGACTTCCTGATGATCCTACGAGTTGCAATAATCCTTCACGGAGCGCGCGAAGGAACTGTAACGAACTCAAAATGATCTGCAGTAAGCTTATATCGTTGCGGATTACAGAGTGAGCTGCCACGACCTCAAATTGATCCGTTTCGGATTAGATATCATCTTTTACGACTAATTTAATGGGTATTTGAACAAAAGCGGCAGGTTGCGTCAAGGACAGTCAATCGCCGCCAACCCTAAAACGCTGAAGCGCTCCAGACCTTATGGAAGAGACAGCGCGCAGATGCTTCTGTGATGTTGGATATGGGGTGTCCATTCTATGATGTTAGATGCCAGAGGTGGAGAGCAGCTCACTTACAGACACGCGCAGTTATGTTCGGTTTGAAGAATTTCTGCACGTTCCAATGAGGTTAACTCAGCATTACCTCATTTGACGACAGGCAACTGGGGGGAAGGAGGAAAACGGGAAGGACGGAGGGGCTCGTTCAGTTCTTCCTTCCCTGCAGGGATTTCTGGCCAGATTGTGACTACAGTGAGTGCACCTGCGAAGTGACGCGGCGCGGAAGTCCCAGACCAATCAGCAACGTGCGCCGTGAGATCTAACTAATCAGGAACCAAGGCCACGTAGGCTGACAGGTTCCAACCTTTGCTTGGGTCGGTAGGTACCGCTCTGTACTTCCTTCTTGTGAGGCTCTGTTATATGAAATCTCGTCACTACAGTCGAATGGCAAAGACCTTTATGCTGTACTACAAAACTTTGCTTTCTCATATGGTGATTTGAACTTCATATCAGATCAGGTGGGGCTTAAATGGAAAACCCACTAGGAATCTCATTTTCTGGATTGCATAACTTTCCTTTCGTGCCTCAGGAAATTACAAAATACAGGACAATTCTCTGGGTACAATGATATCCCATGAGTGACACCATTGTATCAAAGTATATTAATAATAATGACATGTAACTATGAACCAGGTTAGGTTAGCATTCACTTTTATGTATCCAACCACAAGGCGTCGAAGTGTTACCTAAAGGGAGCAAACCCCACTCTCTACACTAACCACTTGGGTCTCAAACACCTCACGTCGCAGCCTATTCTCTCATAACAAGAGGTGCGGTGGATAAACTTCATCGAGGCACACTTTCACTACGATATCATATACAAGCCAGAGGCACACAACAAGGCTGGCGCACTAAGGCGACCATGTCAGAGGTCCATTGGAGATTCCCGATTGATCCTAGGGAAGGGTTACAGGCACGTCGGCCTGGGGGGTTATGGGCGCACTCACCCGCTACACAAAAAAGCCCTTTTATCCCAGTGGTTAGTGGCTGGGATTCTGACAGACCAAGCATGTAGCATGGATCCAGCTTGACGGGATGAACCCACTGCTCCATTACTTGTTGCAACACGAGTACTCCGTGGACGGAGAGTTAGCCATTACAGAGAAGCAGAAACTGCTTCAGTGGTACAATGACTTAGCCGTACAGAAGGGTTTATGAAAAACTTGGGTACCGAACTACGCCCCATACCAGCAGATCTTAGCGGAGGAGTTCCATAATGTGGCTTATGCTGGACACTTTGGAAGTAACACAACGTTTAGGGAAATGGCAAAATATTACTATTGGCCTCTGATGGCAATGGACATGCAGAAGTTTGTCACATTATGCAACATGAGACAGTGGATGAAGAGTAGCCAGCAGAAAGAATTAGGGTTACTTCAACCTCTACTAGTACCAGAGCAGCCATGGGAGTCGCGTCTTCATCACTGGGCTGCCATCAACCACACAAGGGCATGATGACATACTCGTAATGACCATGAAGTTATGAAAAATGGAACACTTCATTCCGACCAATGCCATGGCTACAGCTAAAGCATTTTTCGCCTCCTCTTCGACTGCATCATCACCATTTACGGCATCCCCGCTACCCTCATTTCAAGTAGAGTCCCTAGATTTACAAGAAGTTTTGCAGGAAACTCATGGGTTTGTTGGGGACAAAGCTTGCAATGTCTTTGGCTTACCACCCCTAGAGTTTGTTTACAACAACGCTTCACACGCAGCCGTAGAGAAATCACATGTCCTCGTGTTCTACAGTCGATAACCTATCACACCACCGCATCCAACAACACCAGGAGCCGTCCAAGCCACACATGTCTTCAACTCCACCACGCAGCACCTATGGGAGAAGGCTCGACGTCTCATTACAATGCAGAAGCAGTGTGCCGATCGATAGCATCGTGATCACTCAGTAGAAGACGAAGATCAGGTTTTTATGGACAAGCGCAAGTTTGACTTATCTCACCTCCAGTCCAAGCTCTGGCCTCGCTCCTATGGTCCTTTTTGTGTTGAGGCCATGGTGAGACTAGTTACCAATCCTCATGCGGTTACAAATTACATCAAAGTTTCAGAATGCTTTCCATGTTCAGCTACTGAAGCCCTACAAGGACCCCAACCAAGAGTACAGGGACGTAAGTTACCACCACTGCCACCTATTATCGTACAGGATGAACATGAGTATGATGTGGAACGTAGCGTCGTGCATCGACACCCACGCAACAACATGTTCGAGTTCCTGATCCGCTGGAAGGGATATGATCCACCGGATGATGCCTGGGTTATAGAAGCCGATATTGGCAACGCACGCCGTGCTCTCAAGGATTATCTTGTCAAGCAGTGTGAGTATACAACGACCTCGCTTATGGTTTTTTTTTTTTTTTTTTAATGTTAATTTTCTAGTGTCGGTTTGTGCTTGCTTTACTATAAAGTCTCTACACAAATATCTATGTACATGTCACCACTTTCTCGCACTCGCTATCCTCTTGACCTTGTTGCCTGTCTGGGCTGAGAGTGTACGGAGAGGTGCATAAGGGGGATTGGGACAAGAAGCTACTATGGGTAATGCAGGATACCGTTTTAGCAAGCAAGCAGCCCTGGAAGACGTGTTACCCTACTACTTGCTCCTTGGAAAGCAGATGGAGAGCCTGAAAGTGGTGCTGGGGAAGATGGAGGACAAGGGGGAGAGCATTGAAGTGGGTGAAGAGGCGTACGTGCACCGAGTAAAGTAGGTCGGGCTGGATGTGGGGGTTTCTCAGCAGAGGTGGGGCGTGAAGGAAGCAAGGGAATCTAGAGTGCTTCTGCTGGAAGATGACAAAGGCAGGCGAGTGATGGATCACGTGGCTAACGTGGCAAAGGCAGGAAAGCAGCAGAAGGCAGGAGGTTACACGGGTCCCATGACCAGGGCGAGGACGGTGGCAGTTGGCCATGGGAGGGGGCAAGAGGAGAGGGCTGTGTGGTAGAGAACAGAGATCCAAACCACTGAAGGAACTCGCATATCATTTGTGACAGAGTCAGTGTGATGGTGCGACCGGCTCTGTCCCTGGTGATCTGCAAGCCAAGGTAGCGGCACAGTTCACCAAGATCAGTGCAAGTGTGTCTCTGATTTCTATAGTTGGGACTTCACCACAGCCAGAGCAACCCTGTCTGCTGTACATAAGACAAGGTCGTCGACGCGAACGAGAACGGAGATAGGTGTGGGCCCATAATCAACGAACAGCGAACGGTCGGCGGACGAAGGACGGAACTCGAGGTCAGCAAGTATGGAGCGAAGCGTGTCGCGCCACTCACAAAGCGCCTAGTGGAGACTGTAGACTGGTTGTGTCAGGCTCCCCTGAGTCCTACGCGGGCAAGTGCCAGTGAAGCCAGGAGGACGGCGCAGCCAGATCTCCTCGTGTAGGCGGCCCTGGAGAATGGCAGTGGAGGAATCCGGTGAGTGCAGCTAGTAGTCTCGCTGTGCTGCAACGTGAAGTAACACCCGAAGAGTAGTCATGTTCACGGCCAAACCGAAGGTCTGGAAGAAGTCAACTCCCTCTCGCTGACTAAAGACTTTAGCCACGTAACGCACCTTGAAGACAGGTGGCGATTCAAGCAGCCGCTTCACCTTGAAGATCCGCATGCCAACGATGGCGTTCGTCACGGGAGAAGGATCTGCGTCAACATAGTGCCTGTAGATCTTTAAGACGCCATCTCTGGGTCCATAGCCACTATTTACTGAGAGGCTCGCCCTGACACTGCCACATGGTAAGTGCGAGGAGTTGGTGTGTCAAGGGCGTTTGGGTCTCTCGCAAGGGCTAGCAGCATGGCAGGGAGATGGGGAGAGGCGACTGCCAAGAACTCCAGCTCAAACTGCCTATCTCCTAGGACGTCACAGCCAAGGGTAGACTCAACCCCACCAGACAGAGGACAGGCAGCCACCACTCGGGTGGCGTAGTCAAGGCGACGTGTTCGTAACAAGAGAGGCGGGAATACGTGCGAGAAAAAGACCGGACGTGCGGTAGTAGTCAGTGATGGGGTGAGAGGACAAGGCTATAAGGACGACTCAAAAGGTGACTGGAGAATAGATTGAGGTGGAGAACGACGATGCCTCGAACGAAGTAAGACACTGCTGAGATCATAAAAAGGATAGGAGGGACGTGTACGAGTGGGACAGCAAACTGTCCAGTCATGCGTGACAACAGAGAGGAGACGACTGTGACCGAGGAGGAGAGGAGAAATCCAGGGACGAGTCCGGAGAAGGAAGACCATGTACAGTAGGAGGCGATGAGTGGTCCAGGGAGGACGAAGGAAACCAAGGGTCGGAGGCCACTCACAGACAGGAAAAAATTCTGGGAAACTGACAGCCGCGCCGTCTGTCGCTGCTACTGCTCCATCTCCCGCCTCTCCTGTTCCAACCTCTCCTGCTCCTCACGCTCGAGCTGACGAAGCTTCTAGAAACGCATCGGGTAGTGGTTGAGAGGTGGAGAAGGCGACACAGTAGCAGTGCCTCCAGCTCAGTCTCCTCAGAACCAGCACCTCCAGCTCCAGCACCCCCAGAACTAGCACCTCCAGTGCCAGCACCTCCAGCTCCAGCACCCCCAGAACTAGCACCTCCAGCGCCAACACCCTCAGCTTCAGCACCCCCAAAACTAGCACCAACAGTGCCAGTAGCCTTAGCTCTAACACCCTCAGAACCAGCACCTCCAGCACCCCTGCCTTCAACACCAACACTCCCAGAGTCCACTACAACCTGTCACGGTAGTGCCTACCGCTGACTGTGACGACGACTGTGGGGTAGAAGGTGATACCTCATGTGCTACCGGGGGGAGAGGGGTAACGTGGGACATACCTGACGGGCCAGGACCGAGGGGGGCGGGTGTACCGGAAAGCGGGAGCAGGAGGAGGAGTGGGGGCGAGGAAAAGGGGAAGGGGGGGGGGGGGGGGGGGGGGGGGAGGGGGGAGAAGACCTTGACAGGGGAAGCGGGCGTAGTATGACACAGACTCATCAAATCGGTCATCACGAGAGTTGAGAAACAGACGGAGGGGTCTTTGGTAAAACTCAGTCAGAGGAGTTCACCGGGAAACCAAGGAAGACACAGGGGGGGGGGGGGGGGCGCGAGCCGAGAGCTTGTTCGAAGAGGTGTCGCGGCCAAGAGCAAGATAGTCCCACCCACGAAACTCCGACACAACATAAGGGGACCCGATCCAATGAATGGTTGGTGAATCTTCTGGCCGTGAGACAAGAGGCCAGAGGTTCAGCTTGTGGGCAGCATAGCAAACTGCGTAGGGCCACAGGAAATTATGCGCACGGGCATGGATCATGAAGGTATGGACGATATCCAAGACCAAGTCTATGCGGTGCTCAGCAACCCCATTCTGTTGTGGATCCTCTAGAAGCGTGCACGACTGGGTGGTTCCCTACTCACTACAGAATCCGCAAAGCATGCCAGAGAAACACTCACCCCGATGGTCGAAATGGAGACAACGGACACGACCACCACGAGTGGCATTAGTGGTCAGCGGCCATCTCATCAGGGTAGATTTCATGCCGAACGTCTTTGCCAGGGGGAACACCATGGTGTATCGGGAGTAGTCTCAACGACCAATAGAAAGAAGCTCTCCCTCTCATGCCCAGGGCGAGGGGCAAGGCCCAGACGTCCAAGTAGAGAGTCTGGAAGGGGGCTGTAACCGGACGAAGGGAGGATGAGTGAGGGGTGAAGAGCAGTCGAACCTCAACGCGAGGAGTGCACGGTGGTGCAGGCGAAGGAGGGAGAGATGCAAAGACGCGCAGGAGACCGTAGGCAAGACACCGATTCGACAAGCTACGGAGGCGTCAGAGGGACGGATGACCAAGACAGTGGTGCCATAGGACTTTCTGGTGGGTGAGCGACCAAAAGGAGCAGGACACAACAACTTGACCAGACGCAACTACCTGACCAAACGAAGCTACCTGACCCGATGGAGCTACCTGGGTAGACTCACTATGCAGTGTGAAAAGGCCGAAGCAGGGCTCTTGGCACACTCAGGTGGAGGCAGGTGCCAACATGGAGGTCCTAAAGGTGTCTAACACCCACCAAGTTCCTAGAGAATGAGGGGGTGTGGAAACCAATGAGGATTTCAGAGGGGCAAGCCGGGCATGGGAGGGTGGTAAAGCTGCGGCATCTGCTGGTCCTGAAGTAGGATCAGCCAGTGCAACCGAAACCGGAGGAGGAAGCGGTGTGAAAGCCGTTTGGTCGCGGAAGAAAAACAGAGACGTGTCCGAGTCCAGCGTGAAAGTGAGCACGTGTGAGTCGTAGGTGCATCTGAGCTAGTAGCTACACAAGCACATAGACTGAAAGCACAAGCACCTGCATTAGCAATAGACAAGGATCCTAAGCTGCAAACACGCGAGCAAACAGATCCAGTAGCACTATAGTGAACATCGGCATACAACGCATAAGAAGATTGCAAAGGCATTGACTAATGCTACCGCAAGGATGTCCCACAAAGCGAGTCCAAGGGGGGAGGCAACGCAGCAGAGGTTGCTCTCGACGTCCTCAAGTGCTGCCTCAAGGACGTCGACGGTGAGTGCACTAGGGTGCTTCGGAAGAAGCCCGTCGCGTACAGGTGCAAGGTGGTTATGGAGCCTAGTGACCATGCAGTGAAAAGTGATTGGCATGGCCCGGGGGAATAGTGCAAGCCTAGCCTCAGTACAAGTAGCACGGTAGCTGGTGTATAGCGAGCGAAGGTGAAGCATGCAATAAGAGCACGGGGTGGTAGCATGGCCTAGTGCGGTTAAGAGGGGTCGAGCGCAGTATGATGTGTGCTAGGCCACGAGGCCTTCTAGCGGGAGACCGTGGTGCCTTTCAACGAGGGCCCGCGGGGCCTTACAATGAGGGGTTGCGGGGACTTCAAACAGGGAATCGTGGGGCCTTAGAACGGGGGGCTGCAAGGCCTTAGAACGAGGGGTTGTGGGGGGCCGCAGGGCTGCTATGGCGCTCGTGGCAGCTGCTGATGCTGCGCGTGCAGCTGTGCGCGCGGCTGCTGCTACTCGTGACGGGACGGGGCAGCGCAGCGCGAAACGGCGCGGGAAGCGAGGGTCAGGCAGCGTGCGCGTGGCCTGCAGAGCATGCGCTTGTTGCTGTACACACGCGTGAAGCTGCTGCTGCGCGTGCGCATGCTCCAGTACGTGCGCGCGCTGTGAATGCGCGCACGTCTCCAAACAAGTCAGCGCGGGCAGCGTAGGGCAGCACAGGGCAGTGCGTAACGGGGCGATACAGGGCAACACGGGGCGATACGGGCTAAGTCCTAAGAACTACCTAGCTGATACCATCTCCCTACCTCTAAGATAGTTTGGGGGAATAATGCTCGACTAGGGAAAAAGGGGGAGGGTACAAGTGTTAGAATATATATTTATATATATTTATGTACCTGCCTGTAGCTGTAGCTTTAGTGTAGTTATAAACTCTTTGTATTGGTGGTGCACCTCCTTTGTCTCCTATTTGTACCCTCGAGCCTATAGTGAACCCCCCTTCTTTCTCGACATTCCACTCTCTCGCCACTCTCCTAGGTTCCTAACCTAGCCTAGCTTCTTGACAACAAGAACAATGTTGTGAGGTAGACATGTGCCCCCTAAGACACAACTCACTACAACCTACCCTATACATATAAACATAGTTTGACAACTACATAGGTCATCGTCACGTTGGACGGAATGAGAGAGCTCGAATTGAAAATTTACAACTAGCTAGCATCAGTCTAGCTAGAAGGAGGGAGAGAGAGATGGAGGAAGGAAGGGAGGAGGGTGGGAAAGAAGGTTGGCATGGGAGGGAGGAAGGGAGAGGAGCACATTAGCGCTATTGTTGAGCTGCGTATGTAATGTGATGTCCGTCGTTGAACAATGCATAGACCTTGAACGTACGATTCGTTAATAACATGCCTGGTACGTGCGTTGCGGGTCATGTCACGACTCGGCGCACGTGTAGATTGTGTCCGTATTCTAAATAATAATGTACAATAGTGGTTACTTTTGAAATTGTTGTAACAGTATCCATTAGTGAGCAGTAAGCGTATGAGTTAGACATGCCAAAAGAACAGGACATGATGTAGAACCCTAGCACACCCTCTACGACTAGATGAAGTTACTAAAAGGTCAATTCTGGAAAAGAGGATATTCAAGTATAATAAATATCAAAGACAAGACCTTACCAAGTTGTGTTACTAACCCGAATAATCAAGGATGTAGCATCTACTCTGAGCCGCCCTGAACGTGGGCGAGGAGCAGAAGGAACATTTGGACAAGCACAGCCCACTCCTCAACTACTTCTAATTGGCGTTACCACACCCCTTGACTTAGCTAAGTTAGCCGGCCGTAGCACCGCTTTAGCACTTTTCTTGCGTAGAGTCGGTGGGTCGGCGAACCTAGATAGGTCGAGTGTGTCTGTTGCGGGAGGAGCTCCCGAGGAGGCAAGGGTTGAGAAGGCGAGGGCCAAGTTGAGTAGGGATTTGCGATGATTGGCGGCCCGGCTGCGGGCTCAACGGCGATGGCACGATATCGCGATCGCGTGGAGCGCGCGTGGGCAGTGGCGTGGTGGCTCGCCGTCGTTGTCGCGCCCGTCGCGATGGTGAAGGCCGTTCCGATCGAAGCCACTCAAGGCAAGTGTCGTTCGATTCGATCCGTAGCTCCTTATGATCGAATGTGATCATTCGCCGCGTGGCGATTGTCGGCCCGAGACCCCGCGGCGTAAGCGCCAGAAGAGTCGCTCATGGTTATCATGGTACTAGTAACGTGCCTGGCTGGTTATCGCCGACATGGCGTATGCCACGGCGTGATCCGCTAGCTCGTTGCACGATGTCCCGCCATTTGCGCTGCTGTCACCCACACGCGCCACCCGTGCGGCGGCATGACTGCTGGCATGGCCAAGGGAGAGCGGAGGGCGAAGGGGAGAGAGCGAAGGGCGAAGGGGAGAGAGCGAAGGGCGAAGGGGAGAGAGCGAAGGGCGAAGGGGAGAGAGCGAAGGGCGAAATCCAGAGAGCGAAGGGCGAACGACTTTAAGCAGGGCGACCCACAGGCAGAGAGAGAACTTCCGTGAAGGGCGCGGACAGAGCGCGAGGGCGAAGGACAGAAGGGGGAAGGGCGAAGGACAGAAGGGGGAAGGGCGAAGGACAGAAGGGGGAAGGGCGAAGGACAGAGCGCAACGACGGACAGAAGGGGGAAGGGCGAAGGACAGAGAGCAACGACGGACAGAAGGGGGAAGGGCGAAGGACAGAGAGCAACGACGGACAGAAGGGGGAAGGGCGAAGGACAGAGAGCAACGACGGACAGAAGGGGGAAGGGCGAAGGACAGAGCGCAACGACGGACAGAAGGGGGAAGGGCGAAGGACAGAGAGCAACGACGGACAGAAGGGGGAAGGGCGAAGGACAGAGAGCAACGACGGACAGAAGGGGGAAGGGCGAAGGACAGAGAGCAACGACGGACAGAAGGGGGAAGGGCGAAGGACAGAGAGCAACGACGGACAGAAGGGGGAAGGGCGAAGGACAGAGAGCAACGACGGACAGAAGGGGGAAGAGCGAAGGACAGAGAGCAACGACGGACAGAAGGGGGAAGGGCGAAGGACAGAGAGCAACGACGGACAGAAGGGGGAAGGGCGAAGGACAGAGAGCAACGACGGACAGAAGGGGGAAGGGCGAAGGACAGAGAGCAACGACGGACAGAAGGGGGAAGGGCGAAGGACAGAGAGCAACGACGGACAGAAGGGGGAAGGGCGAAGGACAGAGAGCAACGACGGACAGAAGGGGGAAGGGCGAAGGACAGAGCGCAACGACGGACAGAAGGGGGAAGGGCGAAGGACAGAGAGCAACGACGGACAGAAGGGGGAAGGGCGAAGGACAGAGCGCAACGACGGACAGAAGGGGGAAGGGCGAAGGACAGAGAGCAACGACGGACAGAAGGGGGAAGGGCGAAGGACAGAGAGCAACGACGGACAGAAGGGGGAAGGGCGAAGGACAGAGAGCAACGACGGACAGAAGGGGGAAGGGCGAAGGACAGAGAGCAACGACGGACAGAAGGGGGAAGGGCGAAGGACAGAGAGCAACGACGGACAGAAGGGGGAAGGGCGAAGGACAGAGCGCAACGACGGACAGAAGGGGGAAGGGCGAAGGACAGAGAGCAACGACGGACAGAAGGGGGAAGGGCGAAGGACAGAGAGCAACGACGGACAGAAGGGGGAAGGGCGAAGGACAGAGAGCAACGACGGACAGAAGGGGGAAGGGCGAAGGACAGAGAGCAACGACGGACAGAAGGGGGAAGGGCGAAGGACAGAGAGCAACGACGGACAGAAGGGGGAAGGGCGAAGGACAGAGAGCAACGACGGACAGAAGGGGGAAGGGCGAAGGACAGAGAGCAACGACGGACAGAAGGGGGAAGGGCGAAGGACAGAGAGCAACGACGGACAGAAGGGGGAAGGGCGAAGGACAGAGAGCAACGACGGACAGAAGGGGGAAGGGCGAAGGACAGAGCGCAACGACGGACAGAAGGGGGAAGGGCGAAGGACAGAGAGCAACGACGGACAGAAGGGGGAAGGGCGAAGGACAGAGAGCAACGACGGACAGAAGGGGGAAGGGCGAAGGACAGAGAGCAACGACGGACAGAAGGGGGAAGGGCGAAGGACAGAGAGCAACGACGGACAGAAGGGGGAAGGGCGAAGGACAGAGAGCAACGACGGACAGAAGGGGGAAGGGCGAAGGACAGAGAGCAACGACGGACAGAAGGGGGAAGGGCGAAGGACAGAGAGCAACGACGGACAGAAGGGGGAAGGGCGAAGGACAGAGAGCAACGACGGACAGAAGGGGGAAGGGCGAAGGACAGAGAGCAACGACGGACAGAAGGGGGAAGGGCGAAGGACAGAGAGCAACGACGGACAGAAGGGGGAAGGGCGAAGGACAGAGAGCAACGACGGACAGAAGGGGGAAGAGCGAAGGACAGAGAGCAACGACGGACAGAAGGGGGAAGGGCGAAGGACAGAGAGCAACGACGGACAGAAGGGGGAAGGGCGAAGGACAGAGAGCAACGACGGACAGAAGGGGGAAGGGCGAAGGACAGAGAGCAACGACGGACAGAAGGGGGAAGGGCGAAGGACAGAGAGCAACGACGGACAGAAGGGGGAAGGGCGAAGGACAGAGAGCAACGACGGACAGAAGGGGGAAGGGCGAAGGACAGAGCGCAACGACGGACAGAAGGGGGAAGGGCGAAGGACAGAGAGCAACGACGGACAGAAGGGGGAAGGGCGAAGGACAGAGAGCAACGACGGACAGAAGGGGGAAGGGCGAAGGACAGAGAGCAACGACGGACAGAAGGGGGAAGGGCGAAGGACAGAGAGCAACGACGGACAGAAGGGGGAAGGGCGAAGGACAGAGAGCAACGACGGACAGAAGGGGGAAGGGCGAAGGACAGAGAGCAACGACGGACAGAAGGGGGAAGGGCGAAGGACAGAGAGCAACGACGGACAGAAGGGGGAAGGGCGAAGGACAGAGAGCAACGACGGACAGAAGGGGGAAGGGCGAAGGACAGAGAGCAACGACGGACAGAAGGGGGAAGGGCGAAGGACAGAGAGCAACGACGGACAGAAGGGGGAAGGGCGAAGGACAGAGAGCAACGACGGACAGAAGGGGGAAGGGCGAAGGACAGAGAGCAACGACGGACAGAAGGGGGAAGGGCGAAGGACAGAGAGCAACGACGGACAGAAGGGGGAAGGGCGAAGGACAGAGAGCAACGACGGACAGAAGGGGGAAGGGCGAAGGACAGAGAGCAACGACGGACAGAAGGGGGAAGGGCGAAGGACAGAGAGCAACGACGGACAGAAGGGGGAAGGGCGAAGGACAGAGAGCAACGACGGACAGAAGGGGGAAGGGCGAAGGACAGAGAGCAACGACGGACAGAAGGGGGAAGGGCGAAGGACAGAGAGCAACGACGGACAGAAGGGGGAAGGGCGAAGGACAGAGAGCAACGACGGACAGAAGGGGGAAGGGCGAAGGACAGAGAGCAACGACGGACAGAAGGGGGAAGGGCGAAGGACAGAGAGCAACGACGGACAGAAGGGGGAAGGGCGAAGGACAGAGAGCAACGACGGACAGAAGGGGGAAGGGCGAAGGACAGAGAGCAACGACGGACAGAAGGGGGAAGGGCGAAGGACAGAGAGCAACGACGGACAGAAGGGGGAAGGGCGAAGGACAGAGAGCAACGACGGACAGAAGGGGGAAGGGCGAAGGACAGAGAGCAACGACGGACAGAAGGGGGAAGGGCGAAGGACAGAGAGCAACGACGGACAGAAGGGGGAAGGGCGAAGGACAGAGAGCAACGACGGACAGAAGGGGGAAGGGCGAAGGACAGAGAGCAACGACGGACAGAAGGGGGAAGGGCGAAGGACAGAGAGCAACGACGGACAGAAGGGGGAAGGGCGAAGGACAGAGAGCAACGACGGACAGAAGGGGGAAGGGCGAAGGACAGAGAGCAACGACGGACAGAAGGGGGAAGGGCGAAGGACAGAGAGCAACGACGGACAGAAGGGGGAAGGGCGAAGGACAGAGAGCAACGACGGACAGAAGGGGGAAGGGCGAAGGACAGAGAGCAACGACGGACAGAAGGGGGAAGAGCGAAGGACAGAGAGCAACGACGGACAGAAGGGGGAAGGGCGAAGGACAGAGAGCAACGACGGACAGAAGGGGGAAGGGCGAAGGACAGAGAGCAACGACGGACAGAAGGGGGAAGGGCGAAGGACAGAGAGCAACGACGGACAGAAGGGGGAAGGGCGAAGGACAGAGAGCAACGACGGACAGAAGGGGGAAGGGCGAAGGACAGAGAGCAACGACGGACAGAAGGGGGAAGGGCGAAGGACAGAGCGCAACGACGGACAGAAGGGGGAAGGGCGAAGGACAGAGAGCAACGACGGACAGAAGGGGGAAGGGCGAAGGACAGAGAGCAACGACGGACAGAAGGGGGAAGGGCGAAGGACAGAGAGCAACGACGGACAGAAGGGGGAAGGGCGAAGGACAGAGAGCAACGACGGACAGAAGGGGGAAGGGCGAAGGACAGAGAGCAACGACGGACAGAAGGGGGAAGGGCGAAGGACAGAGAGCAACGACGGACAGAAGGGGGAAGGGCGAAGGACAGAGAGCAACGACGGACAGAAGGGGGAAGGGCGAAGGACAGAGAGCAACGACGGACAGAAGGGGGAAGGGCGAAGGACAGAGAGCAACGACGGACAGAAGGGGGAAGGGCGAAGGACAGAGAGCAACGACGGACAGAAGGGGGAAGGGCGAAGGACAGAGAGCAACGACGGACAGAAGGGGGAAGGGCGAAGGACAGAGAGCAACGACGGACAGAAGGGGGAAGGGCGAAGGACAGAGAGCAACGACGGACAGAAGGGGGAAGGGCGAAGGACAGAGAGCAACGACGGACAGAAGGGGGAAGGGCGAAGGACAGAGAGCAACGACGGACAGAAGGGGGAAGGGCGAAGGACAGAGAGCAACGACGGACAGAAGGGGGAAGGGCGAAGGACAGAGAGCAACGACGGACAGAAGGGGGAAGGGCGAAGGACAGAGAGCAACGACGGACAGAAGGGGGAAGGGCGAAGGACAGAGAGCAACGACGGACAGAAGGGGGAAGGGCGAAGGACAGAGAGCAACGACGGACAGAAGGGGGAAGGGCGAAGGACAGAGAGCAACGACGGACAGAAGGGGGAAGGGCGAAGGACAGAGAGCAACGACGGACAGAAGGGGGAAGGGCGAAGGACAGAGAGCAACGACGGACAGAAGGGGGAAGGGCGAAGGACAGAGAGCAACGACGGACAGAAGGGGGAAGGGCGAAGGACAGAGAGCAACGACGGACAGAAGGGGGAAGGGCGAAGGACAGAGAGCAACGACGGACAGAAGGGGGAAGGGCGAAGGACAGAGAGCAACGACGGACAGAAGGGGGAAGGGCGAAGGACAGAGAGCAACGACGGACAGAAGGGGGAAGGGCGAAGGACAGAGAGCAACGACGGACAGAAGGGGGAAGGGCGAAGGACAGAGAGCAACGACGGACAGAAGGGGGAAGGGCGAAGGACAGAGAGCAACGACGGACAGAAGGGGGAAGGGCGAAGGACAGAGAGCAACGACGGACAGAAGGGGGAAGGGCGAAGGACAGAGAGCAACGACGGACAGAAGGGGGAAGGGCGAAGGACAGAGAGCAACGACGGACAGAAGGGGGAAGGGCGAAGGACAGAGAGCAACGACGGACAGAAGGGGGAAGGGCGAAGGACAGAGAGCAACGACGGACAGAAGGGGGAAGGGCGAAGGACAGAGAGCAACGACGGACAGAAGGGGGAAGGGCGAAGGACAGAGAGCAACGACGGACAGAAGGGGGAAGGGCGAAGGACAGAGAGCAACGACGGACAGAAGGGGGAAGGGCGAAGGACAGAGAGCAACGACGGACAGAAGGGGGAAGGGCGAAGGACAGAGAGCAACGACGGACAGAAGGGGGAAGGGCGAAGGACAGAGAGCAACGACGGACAGAAGGGGGAAGGGCGAAGGACAGAGAGCAAAGGGCGACGGACAGAAGGGGGAAGGGCGAAGGACAGAGAGCAACGACGGACAGAAGGGGGAAGGGCGAAGGACAGAGAGCAACGACGGACAGAAGGGGGAAGGGCGAAGGACAGAGAGCAACGACGGACAGAAGGGGGAAGGGCGAAGGACAGAGAGCAACGACGGACAGAAGGGGGAAGGGCGAAGGACAGAGAGCAACGACGGACAGAAGGGGGAAGGGCGAAGGACAGAGAGCAACGACGGACAGAAGGGGGAAGGGCGAAGGACAGAGAGCAACGACGGACAGAAGGGGGAAGGGCGAAGGACAGAGAGCAACGACGGACAGAAGGGGGAAGGGCGAAGGACAGAGAGCAACGACGGACAGAAGGGGGAAGGGCGAAGGACAGAGAGCAACGACGGACAGAAGGGGGAAGGGCGAAGGACAGAGAGCAACGACGGACAGAAGGGGGAAGGGCGAAGGACAGAGAGCAACGACGGACAGAAGGGGGAAGGGCGAAGGACAGAGAGCAACGACGGACAGAAGGGGGAAGGGCGAAGGACAGAGAGCAACGACGGACAGAAGGGGGAAGGGCGAAGGACAGAGAGCAAAGGGCGACGGACAGAAGGGGGAAGGGCGAAGGACAGAGAGCAACGACGGACAGAAGGGGGAAGGGCGAAGGACAGAGAGCAACGACGGACAGAAGGGGGAAGGGCGAAGGACAGAGAGCAACGACGGACAGAAGGGGGAAGGGCGAAGGACAGAGAGCAACGACGGACAGAAGGGGGAAGGGCGAAGGACAGAGAGCAAAGGGTGACGGACAGAAGGGGGAAGGGCGAAGGACAGAGAGCAACGACGGACAGAAGGGGGAAGGGCGAAGGACAGAGAGCAACGACGGACAGAAGGGGGAAGGGCGAAGGACAGAGAGCAACGACGGACAGAAGGGGGAAGGGCGAAGGACAGAGAGCAACGACGGACAGAAGGGGGAAGAGCGAAGGACAGAGAGCAACGACGGACAGAAGGGGGAAGGGCGAAGGACAGAGAGCAACGACGGACAGAAGGGGGAAGGGCGAAGGACAGAGAGCAACGACGGACAGAAGGGGGAAGGGCGAAGGACAGAGAGCAACGACGGACAGAAGGGGGAAGGGCGAAGGACAGAGAGCAACGACGGACAGAAGGGGGAAGGGCGAAGGACAGAGAGCAACGACGGACAGAAGGGGGAAGAGCGAAGGACAGAGAGCAACGACGGACAGAAGGGGGAAGGGCGAAGGACAGAGAGCAACGACGGACAGAAGGGGGAAGGGCGAAGGACAGAGAGCAACGACGGACAGAAGGGGGAAGGGCGAAGGACAGAGAGCAACGACGGACAGAAGGGGGAAGGGCGAAGGACAGAGAGCAAAGGGCGACGGACAGAAGGGGGAAGGGCGAAGGACAGAGAGCAAAGGGCGACGGACAGAAGGGGGAAGGGCGAAGGACAGAGAACAAAGGGCGACGGACAGAAGAGGGAAGGGCTAAGGACAGAGAACAAAGGGCGACGGACAGAAGAGGGAAGGGCGAAGGACAGAGAGCAAAGGGCGACGGACAGAAGGGGGAAGGGCGAAGGACAGAGAGCAAAGGGCGACGGACAGAAGGGGGAAGGGCGAAGGACAGAGAGCAAAGGGCGACGGACAGAAGGGGGAAGGGCGAAGGACAGAGAACAAAGGGCGACGGACAGAAGGGGGAAGGGCGAAGGACAGAGAACAAAGGGCGACGGACAGAAGAGGGAAGGGCGAAGGACAGAGAGCAAAGGGCGACGGACACAAGGGCGAAGGGCGAAGGACAGAGAGCAAAGGGCGACGGGCAGAAGGGCGAAGGGAGAAGGACAGAGAGCAAAGGGCGACGGACAGAAGGGGGAAGGGCGAAGGACGGAGAACAAAGGGCGACGGACAGAAGGGGGATGGGCGAAGGACAGGGAGCAAAGGGCGACGGACAGAAGGGCGAAGGGCGAAGGACAGAGCAAGGTTAAAAAAAACGCCGTTTTTTTGAAAATTTACCGTAAAAAACGGCCGTAAAAAACGTTCGTAAAAAACGGCCGTAAAAAACGGTAAAAAACGGTTCCAGAAGGTGGTTTCGTTCGAAAGAAAAAATCATCCATTTATGGGACAAAATTGATGGCGAAAATCACCAGCATGAAGAGGACAAACACCTCCTTGCATGAGTGCGCTTGTGGGCATGATTGAAAATGTATTTGACCTTGTTTTTCCCTTTTTTTCTTGGTGACGACAGTTTTCAAACAAAAAAACGCCGTTTTTTGGAAAATTACCGTAAAAAACGGACCGTAAAAAACGGACCGTTTTTTACGAAAACCGTATTTTTCATCCTTGGGACAGAGAGCAAAGGGCGACGGACAGAAGGGCGAAGGGCGAAGGACAGAGAGCAAAGGGCGACAGACAGAAGGGGTAAGGGCGAAGGGCAGATAGCAAGGGCGAGGGGCAGAGTGCAAGGGCGAGGGGCAGAGTGCAAGGGCGAGGGGCAGAGTGCAAGGGCGAGGGGCAGAGTGCAAGGTCGAAGGGGAGAGAGCATGAGCGTCCCATCCCAGGACAAGGTGTTTGACATGTTTAGGGTTTAGGGTTTGTGCATACGTGCTCGATCCTGTGGGTGAGTTGTGCAACAAGCGTTTCGAAAGAGAGGCGACACAGGATGGCAATCCATAGTGAAGTCGTCTTGAGACCGACGTCAGCCATGGGGTTTGTTGTGGGGAGAGTGTCCAAACCCTCCCTTCCTGAGGAGGGCCTCCCTACCCACCTTACCTCCCCCATTCGCCCCCCTGAGTCCTGGCCCCACCCACTGCCACTTGTTGCAGTGCAATTCCTGCAGGAGTGCCAGGCAGCATGGGGGCAGAGCATCCCCGGGTGGAGTGGCGCGAGTCCCGACTGCAGCAGTGCCACGGGCCTCACGTGCGACCCCTCCGGCATGATCACTGCCCTGTGAGGCTATGGGAAGGAGGCGATATGAGGGAGGCGATGGGGGTGAGAGGATGTGAGTGAGAGAATGGGCGTGAGGTGAGAGGCTGGGAGGGTGAGGATGGGACTGAGAGAATAGGCGTGAGGTGAGAGGTTGGGAGGGTGAGGATGGGAGAGGATGGAGTGAGAGGTTGAGTGCGAGAGGCCATCATATTGCGTTTCTAAGTACCCATGCTCAGTGCTCACCCCATTCACTCACCATCATTCACACACCATAAAACAGACAACTCCGGAATTACAAGCTGGGGGGGCAGATTCCAATCTCCCTCAGCAGCCTCAGCAAGCTCACTTATCTGTACGTCCTCAGTGCAGTGTTGCAGGGAAATGGCACCCCACCTTCCATCCCAGAGCACAGCTACGCCTCGCATCCTTTTTGTCATCTCTTCTCTAGCCCACCTCTCCCTCCTCTCACGTTTCCCTCTTTCTTTCCCCACCTTTCCCACATCTGACATCCTAAACCCCTTGCCCTACCCCTCTCCTTCTCTTCTCTCTCTATCCCTGTAGCCCGATTACCTCCTCCTATTCCCTGTGCCTCACTCTCGTGAATGGTCCTCCTTTTGCTAAGTTGGCCTTACCAACTAAACGAGCCGAGGCTCGGCTCGTAGGACAATTGACCTCTGATTTTACATCACAGCTCGCAGCAAGTCTGCCCGCTGATCTTCTGGGCTGATCTTCTGGCATGTGGCGTAAGGGATGAGCAAAGGGCGAACGTGAACATGTTCGCGTTCGCCCTTGCACGAACATGGCCGTTCGGCGAACCGAACGGTGTTCGGTTCGCCGAACTTCCCCAAAAAAAGGTGTTCGGCGTTCGCCTGTGAAGGCGTGTTCGGGCGAACCTCGAACACGTTCGTGTTCGACACGGGGTGTTCTGCAGCAGCGCCACAAACACGAACGTGTTCGGCCAAACCTCAAACAGTGTTCGGCGAACAATTTAAGCTAAAATTCAAAACCTGTTCGGTTCGACTCTAACACGTTCGAGGCGAACCGGACAGGTGTTCGTTTCTTTGCTCATCCCTATATGGCGTGATGCTTCGGCGAGTCTTGTTTGTGGCTAGTTGTCGAGGTGTAGGAACCCGAGTCGTTCTGGTCAATGTGTAGTTAAAGAACAGCTTCGGGTCTGATTTTTTTTCATTTTGTTTCCTGTCAATACTTTCAGCTCCTTCCGATCGCTCCGGCCATAGTTCTCTGCATCACCAGGCTCTTCCAAAAGCTTGATTAGGGTGTGGAACATTTGGGAATCTGGCAATCCGTACGAAGCTCCCGAGTTCCGCGCCGTTGCGCGGTTTGGTCCCAACTGGACGAATGTTTGGTTGACCTGTTTGAGATTTTAGTTTCAAACGTCACTGTAAATCCTGGCGACGTCGCACACGTTACAATTACACATTCGCCCACAAACAAACAGAACTTGCAACACGTGTATGTATGCGACCTTTAGTAGCGTGCGAAAACCAAATCGTGGCTAGAGCATCTTCGGAGTACCGTTCGGAGATGCGTTAGTGCAGCAGGGGCAATCAAGCAGATAGTTTGCACGAAGTCATGAAGTCACGGTGTTTGAGGCGTTCATTCGTTTCTCTATCGCGATGCACTTTAGTTTTCCTATGTGCATTTGACACGTTTGGAAGGATTCTGCGACTTCACTTGACACTGTATAAATTCGCGAACGACAATCCGACGATATCCGCAAGGAATTGAAAGCGGAATTCGACGCTGCCCTATCTGCCAAGCTGAAGTCGCTCGCGTTGGACAAGCAGGATGTGAAGCCAACCCCCGCTGCTGCTAATTCGAAGCCTAACAAGGCCAAGAAGAAGCGTGGCGGTAAGAAAAAGAATGCCGACGTCCCAGCGGACAGCAAAGAAGGGCCGCGAAGCTTCACCAGCACCATCCTCGAAGAAGGCCTGGGTTCCAAAAAATGGCGGAGGCGGCCCCGCAAAAGGGCCGCCAAAGAAGAAGTAACGGCGAAAGACCTCACGCTCCGATGGTTCGGCCACCTGACTCTTCATCAAGCGATGTCGCGCGTGCGGAATCTCGGGGTGCACAACCTGAGTGCCAAGACCTTAACGTCTGACGAGCGGAAGGCACTCGGGATGGGGTTGAAGTTTGTACCGACACCTGCCTGGAACCCGTCTGTCGCTGCAGCCCTCGATCAGCTACATTGACAGATTTCTCTTCACTTTTTCTTCAAGGACAGAGGGGATCCAACTGCATCTTCACGCTTTCGGGTGCGGAACCGGAGTTGGAAACCCTATCGGGACGAGGTTTCGGAGTCGGTTTTCAGGGAGGCACATGATGACCTCTCTTTCCTGATGAAAGCAGCAAGGCCTCGGCATGGTTCGAACCTCTCACAGGGTGTACGCTCGGCCCTGCACTCCCTTGCGACGGATCGTAGCATATTCATCAAAGCAGCAGATAAGAACCTGGGCATCACCGTCGTGGACCGTAGTCAGTGCGTCAGCCTGTGTATGGAGCACCTTTCGGATGACGCAGTTTACAGACCGGTTTACCGTGATCCGACGCCCGACGTCCTGCAGCACCTACTGTTTCTTCAGTCCACTTGGGGACCGGCTTTTCCGGACAGCCTTTGGAAGTTTTTTTTTACGAACCGCTTGAAGGATGGAAACCAGCGGCGTTTCACAAGAAAGAACCCGTGGGGCGGCCGATCGCCGCTTCACACTCCTGGGTTACGACTAATGTGAGCCGTTGGCTTGACGCTGAACTTCGACCGCTTGTCCTCAAAAGACCCACCTACCTCCGACTCTCTCTCGCTCTTGACTACGCTAGAACGGACCCCTTTTCCTAGGACGGTTCTTCTCGCAACCTACGACGTCACTGCGCTCTACCCCAGCATCTCCATAGAGCGTGGGCTCGAAGCAGTCAACTGTTTTCCTCAACGGGAGAATCCGCAGCTCGCTTTACCTCTCATGGCCCTATTGGGGCGGGTCTTGAGGAACTCGGTTGTCAAGTTCGACGGCCGGACATATCATCAAGTTCGGGGGACAACTATGGGAACTTCTGTAGCTGTTTGCTTCGCCGTCCTTTTCATGAGCCGCCTTGACGAGTTGCTGAAGGAAAGATGGACCAGAACAGTTCCTCTTCACCACGTGCGCTTTATCGACGACGGCTTTCTGATTTGGCCAGGAACACGGGTAGAATTGGAGGACTACCTATGGACCTTTAATGCTCTAGATCCTAACATTAGGATTACGTGGTCGGTTTCGAACAGCTCCATAGATTTTCTCAATCCGGTCCTTTCTAAAGGACCCCGCTTTCAGGAGCACGGTATCTTGGACTTCGGCACGTTTCAGAAGCCGTTTAACCGATACCTCTTTCTGCCCTTCTCCTCCTTCCACCCACGGCATTGCAAGGAGGGATTCATTCAAGCTGAACTGAAGCGCTATCTACTTTGCTCGACCTCAGCTGCGACCTTCCTCGCTACGAAGTCTGCGTTTTTCCAGCGACTCCGTGCTCGTGGTTACCCGCCAGCTTTTCTCCACCCCCTCTTCAAAAGTGTCTGCTTCGCTCAACGTCCAGAGCTCCTCGCCCACATCGCCACCAACCAGTTACTCAAGCAACAGAGTCTACCATCATTTCTGAAGACCTCAAGCAACAGAGTCTGCCATCCCGCGGGCCCCTTGTTCTGAAGACCGAGTTCACACCATGGACTTCTCGTCTCCGACTAGGGGTCGTTTTGAGGCGCCTCAAAACTAGACTTCTCTCACGCGGATTATATGTAGACAAGATTTTTGTTGCTTGGAAATTGGGGTGTAGCTTATTAAAGCTACTGGTGCGCGCGCGACTTTCGAGTTTGCGAAGTGGCGAAGAAGCAGGCCCTGTTACTCACGAAGACACTCTCGAGGAATGAAGACGTGGCTCCTTGGAATTTCCAGGGCAGCCTGGATTGGTCCCCATCTTTTTGGGTTGACCAGGGTGAAGATAGCCTAGGGATTTGTATATTTGGTGGTTAGCCTTTCTTGCTTTTCTTTAGAAGGCTAGGCCTCGCTCGCATTCTTTCATTTGGCACTGAAGAAGGCTTGCTAGGGGCTTCCTTACGGCTGAAACATGTTTGTCCGTGTTTTAACCACTGCTTAGTGAAGAGCTCCGTTCTTACAAAACCCTACGCGAATTAGCCAGGTTTTAGTACAACACCTGTTTTCTCCTTTGCTAATATTTCTCCTCCACTGCTGCTTGCTGGATCATGTCTAATAGTCTGCGGTCACTGTACATCTGAACTCCGATTGGTGCAAATCTGACCACTCGCACCGCTAAACGCACCAAATGTTCCAACTGGATTCCGCACGATGGCGACGCTGCAGAACCCATGGCGAAGCTTGTCGCGAAGCCCTGCGAAAGGTGTCACCACACCGAGTTCTGCACGGTGCCTTGGTTCGCACCGGTCAGTTTTCAGATGTTCCCGACCTTGAGTATCTACTGTTATTTTGCTTCGTCGAGTAGTACTCGAGCAGAACCAAATCATGGGCAAGCCACTAGACGCTCATGGCCTTGTAGCTTGTGGCCGGCCTGACCAGCTCCCGTCAGCTTGGCTCCCATCAGCTTGGCTTGTGGCTGAGTTGGCTCAACTCGAGATATCCCAGCTCAAGCCAAGCTGGCTCAAACCCGTGCTCAGGCCCACGGTCACAAAGGTGGGCTTTCCGTGTGGATGAAGCTCCAGCAACAGTACTCTTCTCCCTTGTGGTTTTCTCAACTGCTAAGCCCGCCCCCCTTGCTACCGTCATCGTGTCCTCACAGCGATCTCGCAAGCAACCAGCTGCCAGGCAGCATCCCTGCCACTGTGACTGCCCTCAGCCTGCTGAAATACCTGTGAGTGTGATGCCACTCAAGGTTCTTCCGCACATGTTCTTTGTTCTGGTCCTCTCTCTCCCTGTCTGTGCTCACGCACGCATGCCCGTCTGGACGCTCGTACGCACATAATCCCTCTCTCTCTCTCTCTCTCTCTCTCTCTCTCTCTCTCTCTCTCTCTCTCTCTCTCTCTCTCTCTCTCTCTCTCTCTCTCTCTCTCTCTCTCTCTCTCTCTCTCTCTCTCTGTCTGTGCAAGCAGGTGGCTCTTCAACAATGCGCTCACCGGCGCTATCCCGGCTGATATCGGCTCACTCACCAGCATGATCTCTCTGTGAGGCTTCTTGCCGGTGCTGCTCTTTCCAGCGTCGCATCCCCTCTTCACTGCTCCACGTGTGCTTGTCGATTTCATTTCTTGCACTGCCCTCTACTCTGCCCTACTTGCCTTGGCTGCTTCCCTCCTTGCTTGCTCCCCTTCTCACATGTGTTTCTTTCCTCCCATCACTGCCAACATTCCCCGATGGGAAAAAGAGGTGGTTCGTGGTGATCCTTTATGATTTTTTAGTGGCCAGCGTATTGTACACTACACGTTTTCATGCTAGCTTGAACGCGCCTCAGGATGGGGAAGGTGGTAAAAATACGCAGAGTCCACAGTTACGGAAGTCAGGTAAGTGGGAAATAGGGGAAGGAAATAATGTGTTTCTGGGCCTGCTGCTGAGTTACGGAATTGGACCGGAAAAATGAGCCCCCTCTCATGTAAGTAGAGTTCTTGGAGTGGACGGTTTGGGATTGGATACGTAGAGGGAGTGTGATCTGGAGAAGTTGAGGGGAGTGAAATGGCTGGGGAAATATGTTTGGGGTGTAGATGTCGGGTGAAAGAGCTGAGCTGACGACTCAAAAGTCACTAGACCTCGAAGGAAGCTCTGAGAAGTTACAGCGACATGATGGGTTGTGAATGGAGGATATTGAATATCAGTAACAAAGCTGGCAGCTGTTGTCATGTTGTGCAACCTCTGTGTTCTGTCAATACACCTGCCTTGCCTCCCTCAGCTCTCTCTACTCCAACAAGCTTTCTGGTTTCGTGCCCTCCTCAATCAGAAAGCTGACTGCACTGGTGTTTTTGTGAGATATTTTCCTCCACTGGTAGAACTGGAGTTTGCTTACGTCTTGCCTAAGGACTAACTGCGCCAACTAAGAATCAATTTTCCTTTTTTTTCCAAGCGTGCCCTTCTGCCTCACGTGCTTCTGCCTGCCTCGTGTGCCTCTGCCTCGTGCTCTTCTCTATAACTGAGCTGTTGTTAATTGCGGAGGCGTGGGCTTTACGAGGCAACTCCCACTCATACTTCTGCCTTCTCCAGTAAAATTCCTGTTCACCACATCCACATCCGTGTGTGTCCTTGACTAAGTAATTGGCACGTCTGTTTTGTAGCCAACCTTGGGCTAGGGTTGAGCACGAGCCAAAGTCTAACGTGTTTGGTCTAAATTTTTAGTTTTTATTTATTCCTGTCAAACCCTACCGAACATATATATATATATACAGTTGTAAGGTTTGAGTATGCATGGGCGTTGAGCCTAGTGTTTCAATTCGACTCGTTCAAAACACTCGTTGGGGGCGAGTAACAAGCATGTTTTTTTTGTTTAAAAACTCGTCCGAGTCAATGAGAGTTTTACTTGCCTAGTTTTTCTTGCTCGTCGTTTGCTCGCCTTGGAGACGAGCATTTTTGGCTACTTAGGGGAGTTTTTCGTGCTCGACGAGTTTTTAAAAGTCATCGTGCATGCGGGAATCTCGTCCCGTAACCCTAAAAGAGAAATTGCCAAGATGGTTGGGTACAGATCTGAGAAACACATTTGTACCCAACCACCACAATTTCCACCGCTCGCGAAATTGGCGAGCGGGTGAAATTTTGTTGTGCCTTACCACAAATCACTTGCGATCAAGTCAAAGTGTTTGCGTACTGTTATCAGAAACAGTTTGACGCGACTCACATCTCCTCCTCTCAATCCCCCCCCCTCTCTCCCCCCCTCCCCCTCCCCCCCCCCCCCCCCCCCCCCCCCTTCACCACCACCCCCACACACATCTCGACAGTTTTAGCTACCGCGCTCGATTTCTTACCTAGTTTCGTAGACTAGGCTAGGGTTGAGCACCGGGCGGGCCGGGCCCGGCCCGGGTCGGGCCCACCCCGGGCGGTGGAAAAAGCCGGGCCGGGCAGGCCCGGCCCGACCCGGGCCGTTTAGGGAAACACTCTGCCCGAGCCCGGCCTGAAGGCGGGCGGGCCGAGCCCGGCCCGACCCGGGCTCCCTATAGCCCGACCCGGGCCGGGCAGGCCCGGACCTGCTGCAGAGATAATTTATAGTCAGAGTAGGTTTAGAGTAAGAAAATGAGGTTTCCTACCAAGGTTGACGCATTGTTTGCAGGTTTAAAAGACCCCTGTCACATTTGCATCAACAAAAAGCAAGGTTTAAGCATTGTTTGCAAGTTTAAAAGACCCCTGTCACATTTGCATCAACAAATAGCAAGGTTAAAACATGGTTTGCAAGTTTAAAAGACCCCTGTCACATTTGCATCAACAAATAGCAAAGGTTTAAGCATTGTTTGCAAGTTTAAAAGACCCCTGTCACATAGCAATCTACATGTTTTCCGGCCCCATGCCCTCCACCCCAATATCAACGGCTGGCTGAATTCCTCCTGTCACACGCCCTGCAGCCTCCTCTAGTAGAACCCCCGGATGACTCGCGTAGAAGGAGCGCATAGTCATGGAATCACAAATCCTGTCCGCGCTCAACCGATGGCGCTGCCAGGTGATCAGGTTCCTGCTCGCCGAGAACACGCGCTCGCTAGCAGCTGAGGAAGCTGGGATGGCAAGGTAGTCACGTGCCATCGCCTTGAGCACAGGCATGTCTACCTTGGCACGCCAGTACTCTAGAGGGCTGACAGTAGACACTAACCCCTCCAACATGTACCGATCGATCTCATCCCCCGCGGACCTAGGCACCCCCCCACCCTCCACGCTAGCTGCCACCCGTGCCAGTAAACTAGATCGACTGGCGAAGTTCACGCCCTCATCCTCCTCCTCCTCCTCCTCCTCCTCCTCCGCTTCAGCCCTGGTGTGTGGCGTCTCACCCACAAGGGGTGCTGGTGGAGATGCCACACGAGCCGCGGCTATGTTCAGCGCCGCCTGGTAGGCCGCCCAGCGCGAGCGCACCAAGCGCAACACCTGCTCTCGTGGAACCTGCGCCACCTCCGGCACAGTGTTCATTGCAAAGTACGCCATCTTCAGCCCTGGGTCGAGAAAGGTGGCGACTGTCAGCTCGTCTGTGCTGTGGTCGTAGTACTTCTGCAGGACGGGCAAGGCAACTTTGATGAGATCACGCAGGAGGTCAGAAGGGGGGTTAGATTCATCGTGCAGAGTCTTCTCCAAGGTGTCGAGGAGAAGGTTGTAGTACGGCACGATGGTCGTTACCGTCGGGTACACAGATCCTTCGGCAGCCTTGGTGATGGCGTTGAAGGGCGCTAGAAACGCCTTCAACGCCACCAGTGCGTCCCAGTGATCGTCAGTCAGCCGAAGGGAAGCGTACTTCTCCCTTTCTTTTTTTGATGAGCCTTGTGGTAGAGGGGGGTTTGCATTGAAACGAATGGAGAGGGTGTAGTCACATTGGTTGGATGTAAATACAGTGCATCCTTGGCACGCAACGCAAACAAGGATGCACCTAGACCAAACATGGTATAACCCTCGTCGGAGTCGAACACTCACCTGCACCTGGGAGAAGTGAGCGCTCAATAAACGATGAAGACGCAGGGCACGTGCCACCATGGCGAAGGTGGACCCCCAGCGGGTCTCACAGTACAGCACGAGCTTGACCTCCTTCATTGTGGGAAAGGAATCCCTCATCTCCTTCCTGAACCGCGCCATGCGCTTTGACGACAGCCCCACGAATTTGGCCGTCGAGCGGATGCGCTGCAGCGGAACCTTGACCGTCTCTACCGCGAGCGCCTTCTGGACAGGCAGGTTGATCACGTGCGCAAAACACCTGGTTGGAACGTAACAGACCATTAGTGGGCTTCGGAAGAACCGTGCAAAGTAATGCAACGTGTTTATGTCAATGCCAAGCACATGCAATTTCCCTCCCACCATTTACACATACCTAAACCACATGTCCTTGGAGATCAGTGGAAAGCGATCCCCATCGTCCGACAGCACCCTGATGGCCGCCTCGTTGCTCGAGGCGTTGTCGGTGGTGACACCATGACAACGCCCGACCAACCCCCATGCTCCAACCACTTCCTCAAACCGCTTAGCAATATCCTCCCCCGTGTGGCCCTCAGACATCTCGCTGAAGTCGATAGTGGCCTGGCGCAGCTGCCAGTCTGACGAAATCCAGTGTGCGGTGACTACCATGTAACTGCGCCGGGCCTCAGACGACCAGATGTCAGTGGTGAAGCACACCTTGAACAGCGGCAGATCCCCCTCCTTCTCCAGCTCCAGCTCGGCCCTAGCCAACGCCCGTGCCATGTCCGCGTACCTCGACACGTCACGGGCCAACGTCCAGCGTGAAGGAATGACATTGTCCTTCCCACACGCTGAGTTGGCTACAGTCAACATCTCCTTGAACTGTATGTACATTCAAGGGATTCGTGGAAGGGAGGATCACGACATGAATATGGATTGTGGTGAAAAGAGAAGCGGTGATGGGGATGTAGCGCTGGCACATACGAAGAGCTAGATAACGTCGGGCAGTGCAAATCACAGCACAACGCAAGAGTACAGTGCAAGCCTTACCGCGTCACTGTCGACAATACGGTAGGAACTGTCGGTCATCACAATGAACTTGACGAAGGCTGCTCGCAGTTCTCGGACCGACACCCGCGGAGTCATAAATTGTTCCATCGTCGCCTGCCCCCCGCCCAGTGCAGCCACCCCTCCCACAAGCGCCTCGGGGGGAACGTTAGGGTACGCCTCCGCATAAGGCCACTTCTCGCCACTATGCGGCACCCCAGGATAGCCACCCTCGGGGAAGGTTGCATCCGCGGGAACCAAGCCCCCCTCGTACATCCGCTTCCAAATGGCGTAGTGGGCGTTATGCTTCCCCTCGTAGTGCCGCCCGCCGGACCGTGTGCTGCTATCCTTGAAAGAGATTCGGGTGGGGCAACACTTGCACTTGCGCGTCTCGTCGGCCGCCAGCTCCCCAAACATCTTAACCACCGTGTACTTAACCCATTGCGGCTTTGTACTCTTCCTCTTCCCTTTACGCTTCTTCCCCATCCGCCCCTCTTGCACACCACCCACCTCCTTGGCCGCCGCCCTCTCTTTACCCTTCTTCTTACGATTGCCGCACTTCCCTTCCTTTTCTTTGAAGCACCCTTAGATGGCTCAGCCTCAAGATCCGCCATCTCCTCGTCCTCACTACCGCCATCCGCCTCTTCCTCCTCGTATTCCGACTCGCTCCCCTCATCGGACGAATCACTGCCGAAGGAAGATGAGGATGAGGCTTCGTCATCCTCTTCGTCATCCGCCTTGTCTTCCCGCTCTTTGCCGACATCGCCGACGACTTGTCGCAACTCTCCGTGCGCGTTGAAACCATCATTGTGCGAGGGGAGCACGATGGTCACGTTGCCTAGTCCGGGAAATTTTATTCCGCCATCGCGCATAGTCTTCTTCGTGCCGCTGTCCCGTGCGGTTTTCTTAGGCGCCATATGCAGAAATCGACGCGTAGGTCGACAGGGTTGGTTGACCTGCATGGGGCCACTGCGAAGCCGCCGATGACGGGGTGCCGGCGGCCGACTTTAACTGGTGGTCGACGACGGGGCTCGTCGACCTGGGAGGGCGCCGACTTTGGGAGGTCGACTTGGGAGGTTGACCTAAGGAGGGCGTCGACTGTGGAGATAACTACTAAAACGGGAGCTAGACTATGTGCTAGGCACGGGTGCACGTGTGATCTCTGCGTTCATCCACTTAGTCGTTTACTCGTGCTTGCACTACTTGCTGGTTCACAGGGAAAGTTGGCAAGAGTTTCAATACCAAAAGTTCACAACCATGATATACAGAAGTTGGCAAGGCAAGACTGCATCATAGCTAGCATGCAAGCACGTCTACTCCCAGTGCAGCACGGTCGACCGCGTGCCAGCACGACTTGGTTGACCGCGCTCCAGCAGTGCAGAGGCGCGGCTTGCCAATGCTGCAAGTCGACGGCGTGCCAACGTCGCAGGTTGACGGCGTGCCAACGTTGCTCCCGCAGGACAGCAGCGCACCCGCTTCGCAGGTGCTCGCAGATGATTGGCGTGCAGTGCCTCGTCACCTGCACAGCGCACACACCGAATCAACTTCGTGCTGACAACTGCTTCTGATCAGCCACTTCGACCTCGGGATACCATCATCGAGGTCGTCCTCGCCAACATCGCCTGAGCGACCGTCGCGTGCCCCCGCAGAACCTTGCACCCAGGTAACCTGGTCGACCGGGCAACCACGTCGACCAGCTGCTCCCGTGTGTGCCCGTCAACCACCCAGGTCGACGACCACTTCAAGTCAACCTTACTAGGTCGACCACTACCCCTGGTCGACCAGCTCTAGGTTCACGTCACTTCTGGTCGACCAGCTCGTCGACGACCAGCACAGTTGTCAGCCGACCCCAAAGTCGGCTACCCGAAGTCGGCGTCACCTGGTCGACGCCCTTCGCAGGTCGACTTCCCAGGTCGTCCTCCCTGAAGTCGGCGCCCATGCAGAGACACCCGAGCAGGTCGAATTCCTCGTCAACCAGCTCGCCCACTGCTGCAGGTCGGCTGCACCCCTACACCCGACCACGAAGTCGGCTCCGTCCAAGCGAGGACGGGGCCAACACACAACTCCCGTTGACATCGACTTGGTGACGCCGACAGGGGTAACCGAATTGGTGCAGTCGGCGGACAATTGGTCTGATCGACCAGAAGTGGTCGACGCGGGGGAGTGGCCGACCTCGTGAAGTCGGCAAAAGGTGGTCGTCGACCTGGGTGATCGACGGGCACGAGGAACAGCACTTGGTCGACGTGGTTGCCCGATCGACCAAGTTATTCGAGCGATGGGGATCTGAGGAGGTGCGCGACAGTCGCCCATGTGCACGTGAGAGGGCACAGCACGCCAACCGGCTGCGAGCCCCTGCGAAGCGGGTGCATTGCTGTCATGCGGGTGCAACGCTGTGCAGCCGCCTTGCTGCAGCGTTGGCACACCGTCGACTTGCAGTGTTGGCAGACCGCCACTACACTGCTGGAGCGCGGTCGACCAAGTCGTGCTGGAATGCGGTTGACCGTGCTGTGGTGGAGGTCGACCTGCATGCTTGATAGCATCTGATGTAGTCTTTCTTGCCAACATTGTTGTAACCATTGCCACTTTGCTAGTGAAACTTTTGCGGTTTTGCCCCGTGAACACACAAGTGCTAGAGAACACTAAGAAACGCCGCAATCACTCTCACAACCGTGTCTTCCCCCGTAGTCTAGCTCCCGTTGCAGCAGTTCTTGTCCGCATGTACCCCCAGGTTGGGTCAGGGTATTCAACTCCATGGCCCGAGGCTGGCCCGACCTGACCCGGCCAGGAAACCCGCTTGGCCCGGCGAAGCGGGTCGGACCGGGCCAAATGCTCATGCCTAACCCTGAAATTCGCGCTTTTGATGTCGAGGGAAATTTGAAATGCCCTCGTCGAACTCCGTGCGGTTCGATGAGGATATTTTCAAGCCTTCGAACTGTTTGAAGGTAGGAGGCCGAACCAAAAAAGTACGGCGAAAGCTCGACCATTTTTTCTTCCCCTTATTTTCTTTTAAGTTCGCCGAACTTTTGTCCTGAATTTCTAAGTGCTTGTTCAACCACCGTCGAACATGTTTGTCCGAACCGGACCTAGGTTTGGTTCGTTGCTCAACCCACCTTGGGCGAGGCAAGGCTAGTTCTACTTTTATGCACGGATCCTCCCATCTTTGTAACCTACCTGGCCATGGACTTAGGAAACATTTGCTCGTGAAGAAGAAAAAATCCGAGAAGATACGAGGCGGTGGGAGTCGAGAAGATACTCATCCGGGTAGTACTAACATCGCATTGTTGCTTGAACCAGGAACCCTCATCGTGAGTTACCAGGCGAGCATCGCTCAACTCGCTACTTGCTCAGGTTTATCTAATTCCACGCCGTTGCCTATTCAACCACTCGTCCTCATGGCACTAGCCCCATTGTTTGATCACCCTAATTGGGACAGGTCGCTTGCCACCAACCAGCTCAACGGCTCCATCCCGGCTGACATTGGCGGTCTCACCAAGTTGACAACCATGTAAGAAGATAGGCTTTTTGTTGTTCTTTGCAATCTCCTGTGCTCTCCCAAGAATCTTTCCCCCCATTGTTCAGTATACCTCACCCTCTTTGCTCTCCCTCGATTCCTTCCTCATTTTCCAAACCCCAAACTCGAACATTTTGGGTTAAGTACAGAGCAGTAAGGATTAGTAGGCTCATTTTCAGCCCAATTCTACACAACTTAACGGTTCCTTACGGTAACTTAAGTTTCGTAGTCGTTGTTTAGTCGTTTTTTTTTAGTAACTTGCGGTTTAAAAGGATGATCCGTAAGCTACTCTAGTTCTAATAACCAGAAACCTGTGGTTAAGGGTTACACTATCGTACATAGAAGTGCGAATTCAAGCCTTCATGGCGAAGGATCGGGTGGTAGGTGCAAGAGCGGATGGGGGAGGCGATGAGGATGGAGCTGGAACCTCGGGTTTGGCTAAGTCCTCATTTTCGAATACCAAACATGTTCGGAATTGGCCGAACATGTAGATGTTCGGCGAACCTAAACATGTTCGCCCACGCTAACCAAACACCAAACATGCAAAAAAAGGAAATAATGTTCGGCCGAACCGAGCATGTTAAGTTTGGCTAAAAATAATGTTCGGGGACGTTCGGGCAAACACGTTTTGTGTTCGCCCGTTGTTCATGCCTACTTGTAGGCTAAGATGGGTGCGTACGTCCCTGGACCTACGTAAAGTAATGTTACTTGTAACATTACGTCTACGTTTACGTACGCGTAAATAGACATGATAAAAAAAATCGAACCCATGTTCGGTTTGATTCAAAAGTGTTCGACTCGAACATGTTCGACTGTTTTTTTGCCCAAAATTGTTCGTGTCGAACACCTTGGAGTTCGTCACAAACACGTTCGACTGTTCGAGTGTTCGTTTGCAGAAATAATGCAAGAAAACCTAGGTGTTCGCGAACACAATGTGTTCGTCGCAAACACCTAGGTGTTCGAGGGAAAATTTAGCTTGTCAAAGTTTGACGCGCTGGTTGGATCGAAAAGGGGAGGGCGACGATGAGCTCAATCGTCGATATAGCCTAAGGATGGCATTCCACCCCCTACCCGCACTTGAAATTTCACATTGTGGCGGGTAAAGTTAGGTTAAGGTTGGATTAGGGTAGGAGACGGTTAAAAAACTGAACTAAGGGCATATCTGTTTAGGTTGGAATTTAACAAGCCAAAATTGGATATTTACCAGATCTGCGCCAAGCCTAACTATATCTCTTGTAGGGCTATAGGGAACGTGATATTGCTTCTAGTACACTCGCCCTGCCTGAATGTGATTATACTGAAAGAACCCCCCAAGGCAAACTGTTCGAGTTCGGGTCAAACACCTTAGTGTTCGGCCTTGCCTCAAAACTGTTCGACCCTTTTCTCGAACGGGGAACACTAACATTTCAGAAAACTGTTCGAGTCAAACGCGTTCAGTTCGGTTCGAATTGATCAAGTGTTCGCAAACTGTTCGAGACAAACGTGTTCGATTCGCGCGTAACTTGAGTCCGGGCAGGTAAAAAATCTTAGTGAAAAGAATGGACAAATTGTTTCCTCGGTTTATACTTCTGGCGGAATGTTGCTACAGGACCGTTCAGGGTAGCGCATACAGCCTGGCGAGATGTTAAGAAGTTAGGTAGTAACTAAAAATTATAGATTAAGGTAGGGGTTTTAGATCTTAGCTCGTCATGGTAAACCGATCCACGAAGTAGCATTAGGTCGTCAATGCGGAGATAACTCTAGCAACGGGAGCTTGACTACGGTGGAGGCACGTGTATGAGAGAGATCTCTGCGTTCGTTCCTTAGTCGTTTCCTTGTGCGCACACTACTTGCTAGTTCACGGGGAGAATTGGCAAGAGTTCCACTAGGAAAACATCACAACAAAGGTTCAGAATGATAGCAACAACATTGGCATGCAAGGCTACATCAGAGCTAGCACAGCTGCTGGTCGACCTCCAGCGCAGCACGGTCGACCGCATTCCAGCGCAGCAATGCTCGCACCGCTCCAGCGCTGCAGAGATGCGGCGCGCCAACGTTGCAAGTCCACGGTGTGCCAACGCTGCAGCAAGTCGGCTGCACAGCGTTGCACCCGCAGGACAACGGTGCACCTGCTTCGCAGGTGTGCGCGGCTGGTTGGCGTCCAACTCCTCGTCACGTGCCCAGCGCAGACATTCCCGCCCGTGACGGCGCCCATCAGCCACGTCGACCTCGGGATACCACCCCCGAGGTCGTCCTCGCAGAAACCACCCCGGCGACCTTCGCACACGTCGCCCGGGTATCCCGGTCGACCGGGCAACCCCGCCTGGTCGTCCAGCCCAGTCGGACGCCGGCTACGCCAAGCCCGGCGTCCCCAGGTCGGCGTCTTGACGTCCTGGTTGGCGTCCACTCGCCCAGGACGCTGTCCAG